ATCAGCAAAAATGCAAATAAGGTACACAATAAAACATAAGATTAAAAACTACAGTCAGTATAGAAAAAAACATCTTGGATAAATGGGGACGAGATTAGCATGGTTTCTTATAAAACTGAGAATTGTCGGATATTTAAAATGAATTAAAAGAGAATTTCAAATTTAAAGCCAAAATAACTGAAGTGGAAAAATTCTCCAATTCAGCTTAGCTTCCAGTTCAGCTACTATGAGCTAGTAGTTTAAAAAAAAAAAATTTAAAAAAAAATATTGGAGTTCAACAATTCTCACCTTAGTAAATAATTCCATAATCAAATTTGACAATCACAGCCAATCCAATTCTTTCCACAGGAAAGCATTGGAAGGGTATTGTGCATGCACTACAAAATGCCAAGCTGCGCCAATCAGCATCTCCTTGATTCAATGCATCTTTGTGGGTGTATTCAGTGTCTCCATGCAGAGCCGAACATCAGTGCTGCACAACCCAGGAAGCATCTCTAGTCGATCTGGGCAACTGCCAATAGAGGTGTTCCTAGGAAGTACCTCTGAAAAAGGCAGTATTTACATTAAAAAGCCTGCAGGGAAAGGCTGTAGACACTAGAACATTAAGCTATGTTGACTATAGTGCCCCTTTAAAGGGTTACCAATACTTGGCACAACTGACTTTTCTTCTGGTTTAATATCCCTCTCAATGTATGCTATTATTAGAAGCATCTACTCTGCAAATATACCATTTATGAAGTTGGATTTACATATGAGACACCGTATATCTGTGATAAATCTCTAGATATTAATGAAGCAGCAATACGATTCCATAGTTGGTGTTGTTACCAGTCTTGTCTCGTTGCATCACTCTATATGGGACTGAACACTATTTTTCCACTTTCTTATTTTTAAAGAGCTTGCATCATTCAGCTTTTCTTTTTTAACTTCCGGGCTCTAAACAAGCCTTCTTATTACAATGCTTTTACTTTAAAATATATTTAATATCCTAAAAAAGATTGAAAGTGTTTGTGTTACTAGCTCAAATGAATATGCAGAATATACTTTGGATTTTAACGGTTTAATAAACTTGTGAAAATAAATAAATCATATATAATATACAGACACACAGTATTTACCTGTGGAGGGTGGAAGTATTTAATCCCAGCTCTAGTGAGATCTCCTTCTCCCTTCACCTTTGAACCATCATAAAGAAAATAATAACTCAACCTGGAAAGATGAAAAAAATTAAAAGAAACAAGTGCTTTTCTTTTTTTATTTTAATTAAAACAAGACAATAAATAAGAAGATATTTAAGTTTTAAACCAGCGATGCAAGTTTTACATCGTATAAGGAGGCAGAACAGATTACACAGGATGTTGGATGGGAACAGTATTATTAAAAGACCACTTGCGGTCTGTGCAAAGACTGCACAACCACAGAGTGCTTTAGTGGACCAATGAACTTGATGTATGACATAAGAAGCATTTTGTGTACAAAACTATTACAGTGTTGAGTGAGTACCACAAGGAGTATACAAGTGTCTGACTAGTACTCTTACTTATTCCAATACAGGAGGTGGATTAGCAGAGAGTTAAATATAGGATGAAAGAGTAGTTAACTTAACTAAAGCAGCCAAGTAAAAAAAAAAAAAAAATTGATTCGAAAAAAATAAAAACTATATATATATATATATATATAGATAGATTTTTTTTTTACATTATTATGTTTCTAAAATAAAACTGAATTGGCCAGCTAATCCAGGAGTAGACACCAGTTCAAGTGCATCTCCCAGGAATACTAGGTTAAATCTGTACTTTACTGCTTCCCTCTTGTGGCTTTCATGGAGCCAGCAAAAACAGCACCACAGTGATAAAAGTGGTTGCATAGAGGTGTTACCGATTATCCCCTTCTTCAGCCTGAATTGTCCTGGCTGAGCTAAAGTTCAGAGCAACATGTCTTAAATCACCCAAGTGCATTTTGCCAGTGAGGTGTGCTTGAGAGAGAAAGCAGCCAGCTGCAGTCTAGGCAGGACGTGGGGACAGAAAGGGAGAGGAAATCTTAAGCTGCCTGATTATGGGCACTTAACTAATAGTTACTACCACACCTGTCAATATACTCAAACGGAGAAAAAAAAAACAAAAACAAAAAAAACACAGCAATAGGACCTACAAGCTTGAAGTAAAAAATTGCAATGTTTAATCAAAGACAAAGAAAAAAAATAAAAGCCAAAAAAGGCATATTGGGAATTCGTATGACCACAAATACTGTGCCAGAGGGTGCCTGTCTATTTTGTACAGCAATTGCTGTGGTTAGTGGATGTTCAAATCCACAGCTGATATAATAGCAGGGTGAGGCGAAATCTTCCTACTTAGCTTCTGTCAAAATACAATGCTAAACACGTTCAGCTTTATTTTTCACAACACCTCTAATAACTAATTTGAGAGATCTGTGCTAGATTAATTGTGTTTTTCTGTATTTTTGAGTGGCTGCACCCAGCTGCAAAATGACAACTAATTTTGTTTGCTGTTTCTTGGCTTTCAGGAAGGTTACTACTGATCAAACATCTACCACTAAAATAAAATTGTTACACCAAGATAGCAGTTAGCACACTACTAAGAATGCCCTTCAACAAAAATACTTTCAGCACGCACTGGCATAACTCAATTTCACAAAGTAAATGCATTATAAAATATTTTACAGAAGTAACTTCCTCCATCTAAAAGCTTAAAGGAAGATTAGTCAAATAGTTAAAAACATAAAGATTTTTTTGGTTTGGAAAGGGAGGCAAAGCTGTCATACATATCCAGATTGTGTGGTTGAGTTAAATACAGTAGAAGGAGATAAATAAATATAAAAAATAAAAATGTAAAAAATATAACAAAAAAAAATAAAAATAAAGTTTCTCTCCCCCCCGATATATGTCTCTTGTCTAAATATTTGTGGGTTTTTTTTGTAAACAATAAAAAGAACCAAAAATATACTTAAAGTTAAATGTTCATTATGATGGGAGAGTTAATTAGAGATTATATACACATATATATATATATATAAACGTAACCACACAGACATATCTTGTACTACCACAATCAATGAACATTTAACTGAAAACCCAACATTATGAGTACACACGATACAGAAGACTCACCATGATGATGGTTTGAGTTCAACACAATCTGCAGACGCCATTAGGTTACCTCTCTATCAATCTGTTTGGAGTCATCACAAACCTTCAATGCTGGTTAAGTATCATAGTCTCAAACTCAATCATAGCTTTGACTGGATTGTCCAAATCACGGAATGATGTCTTACAATTCTATAAAATAAAAAAGGGTTAGTGACAAACCAAGTGTTACAGTAACAAATCTACAGTTGTAGTAGTTGCAGGCGAACTGATAGATGTAATATAGGATTCCCAGAAACCTTTGCATATATTTTTTGTTTAGATGACAATTCTAGATGCAGATGCATGTGAAACAATAAAAACCAAGAATCCAGGTAAACACAACCTTTGCCCATAATTACCATAGATGGTAGCACTTCGCTTATCGCTCTGGCACAAAAACGCATTTTAAAGTACAAACACTAAATACAAAATGCACAGTAGATGGAACATAGCTTTTAATTATTTTCTGGTATTCACATTGCCAAATGTATGCTGGCAATTACACATTGATGTACATCAGCAAAAAAATTAAAAGAAAGATTACTTGCTAAAACTTGCATATCAAAACAGTTGTAAGGTTTTTACGCTCATTAAACAGAATACATTTCACTAACAGAAATCTTGATGCCAAGCACTCCGGGGCAAAAATACATTTCACTAACAGAAATCTTGATGCCAAGCACTCCGGGGCAAAAATTAAAAATTTTCCTCCTATGTTTGTTTGTCAAAAATCACCTATTTATCTTGTTTAGGATGTCCTTCAAAAGAGACTCCACTTCAGATATCTTTCCATACAGAAAAATTCCCTTCAAGTGTAAGTAAAGAAGAAGACGAAGAAAAAAAAAAAAAAATGATCATACAAAAATCACAAGACATGGCTCGTGATTTTACCATCCCAAACATCACCAATTACAGTTGTAATACCGCAAAAGGCCGCTAGATGGAGTGCTTGTGTAATCAATTATTGGCTCGATGACTACTTACTGCACAGGTAGTTCAGAAAGTACAATAAAGGCAGCACATCCGAGAATATTTATCCCAACACAGGTTTAGATAGAAAGTAGCAATGTATGCATATATTAATACTATAATTTGCTAAACTATAAAGCTATTAAACAAAATGCATTCTTTAAAAGGAAAATATATGAATTTATTAGGGGAATACAACTTGCCAGCATTAGAAATATCACAAGGTGGCATATTATGGACCCATAAAAAATATGTTTTTAAAAAAAATGTATAGAAGAAAGTCCCGGTGAATCAATTAAAATGGGGAATAAAACATTTTACAAACTATTTTTTTCACTTTGTCTCTTTAGCCCACATTTTGATGTTCAATCATCAATTCAGCAAAACTAAAGAGACAATATAAACACCAAATTAACTTAATCCTAAAGGGTTACTCCAACCATCATAATCATTACAGCACTCATTAAATGGCTAAGAGTGCGGGTCGATCACTCTCAGACAATAAGAGTATTTATATGCTACATTACAAGCTACTTAGAGCTGGGCATCTCTTGTCTCTGGAAATTTAGTACCTCAGTTATTTGTCCAATATCTCAATCCTATAAAGGCAAAGCACTGACAAATAAGTTATAAAACTGTGATAATATCAATGATCTACTTTGTGGTCACTCTCCTTTTACGTAGATAGTTATGAATGTTGTCAGTATCCTGTTGGTAACCATAATATTGTCAATATTTGTAATGCCAATGCTGCATACATACATATTATATTGGAATCCTAACTGTCAAACTTTTCCAAACAGAAGCAAATTAAACAAATAGTTTGACATGTTGTGCACAAAATGCCATTAAAAGTCCTGTAACCTGTCACTAACACACGCCTTACCACAGTGGAGTACTATATGTCAGTGGAGTTTGTATCCTTGAAATTTCCTGCCAGACTCCACTTCCTCATTGCTCACATTCAAATACACTGCGCAGACCAAACACTTGGGGCAGCCAGTAATGACGTCACTGGTCTGCAAAGGACGCTTAGTTTTCCCATAGTAAATATGGCGATATGGACGATGACGTATAAGCACCACTGCGCCTTGATGATACTGAGGGCGATTAATAACGCGACAGATGTGACGAGACTTAGAATGCTTAGAATCTTCCGGAAGCGTTTGGAACGCATTGAGACCATGTGAGAACACCAAAATGGAACGCATGGATGATTGAGACTCCCTGTGTAATCCAGGCTAGCTCCATTAACGGGATAACAGCTTTGTGGAGGGAGGTCAGTGATGGCATTGTAAGATGATGGATACTTTTTTTTTCTTTTCCACCCAGTTTCTCTGTTTCGTAAAACCTTGCTGATCTTGCAGATGCTGCAGTTTGGCTTATTTCAAGTTTTCAAATAAAATGGTGAAGTTTCTAGTTCAGATTTATATATCTTGTGTGCATTGTATATTTCCTTGCCTTTCTATTCTGTCTGTCATGTTAAAGTGTAGTTTTGCTAGCCCTGTATGTAATTATTTTATGCACCTATATGCATTCCTGTATTTCCCCTTTGATTTCTGACTGACCTCTGACCCCTACCTTCTTTTATTGATATGTTTGTTTTTATTTTAATAACTATTCCTTCATCTGTGTGCCTAGATACATGCCCCCTCCCTTAGCTTTATGGCAAGCCTATCTGACCCTCCATAGAGCTTTATTCAACAGCCTGATTTCACAATTATCAAGCCCCCAATACTGCTGTAAGAAAGTCTGATACCCTCACTCCCTTCGTTATTACCTTTATAGATTGTCTGTCACATCCAAATTTTAGATTTAAAAAAAAAAAGGTGTACACACTGCCTCTTATTAATACACTCCTGCACGTTCTTAACCCATACTACGTAATATTTACTCTACCTTCACCTGCTCTTGATATTCCAATTATTTTCAATTGACTTTTTCCCAGTTTAGCAATGATCTGTCTTCTTCTCCTCTTTATTTCCTCCTTCAGTATAAAAACCTCTCCTCCTTATACCCACTTCACTCATCCCCATCCAAATTTACATTTGCCCCTCTCTGCTACACTCCCCCCTTCTCTTATCTCCTGCCTTGCACTCAAACCTTACCTGTCCTTGCTCTGCAAACTCCTTCTACAATTCCACCCTCTCGTCTCAACTAGACGTCATGGCACCTCCTACATTTAAACGCAGCAAGCGCCCCCAACAGCAACCCTGGCACACCAAGCTGACTCGATATCTCCAAAAATGCTCCATAATTACTGAACGCTGTTGGAGAAAGTCTTACTGTGCGTCTGACTGTCTCCACTATAAATTTATGCTGCGCTTATACAGCTTGGCTCTTTCCTCTCCAAAAGTAAATTACCCCAATACCATCATAACCATACTCTCCCGTGAACCCAAATGACTATTTCACACATTTAACTCCCTTCTTCACCCTATTGTTCCTCCTCCACCTACTAACTTGACCGCCTCAGACTTTGCAACTCACTTCACTGACAAGATCTCTACAATCAGGGAAGAGATCTCTCATCTTTCTTCTTCCTCTAACCTCACTTCCTCTGTTGTTCTATGTTCATTCGCACCCACTACAGCGGAAGAGGTTTCTGCTCTGCTCCAGTCCTCCCGCCCCACCACCTGCTCCCTAGATCCAATTCCTTCACATCTCATCCGTACTCTCTTCTTCTCCTTCTCTACCTCTCACTAAAATTTTCCCCTCTTTCCCCCTCTTTCCCCCTCTCCGGCATATTTCCATCGCCCTTCAAACATGCAACTATAACCCCAATTCTAAAGAAGCCCAACCTTGACCCTAACTCCCCGTCCAACTACCTTCCTATCTCGCTACTGCCATTTGCATTTAAGATCCTTGAGATTGACAGACTTCCTCAAGTCCAATTCTCTGCTAGACCCGCTTCAGTCTGGTTTCTGCGCTAAGCACTCTGTGGAAACGGCACTGACCAAAGTATCCAATGATCTACGCTGCAAAATCTTGTGGTCACTACTCTGTCCTAATTCTCCTTGACCTTTCTGCAGCTTTTGGCACTGTTGATCATAAGCAGCTTCTTCTCATGCTCCGCGATGTCGGTCTACAAGATATTGGCCTCTCCCAGTGCTCTTTCAGTGTATCTTTTTCTGGCTCTGCTCCTTCTCCCCAACTCCTCTCTGTTAGTGTCCCCCAAGGTTCAGTCCTTGGTCCCCTACTGTTCTCCATCTACACTGACTCCCTTTTTAAACTCATCAGTTCCTTTGGCTTCCAAATATAATCTATCTGTCCTCTCCTGATCTCTCCCCGTCCCTCTTGACTAGTATCAAGAGGGACTTCCAAATATAATCTATCTGTCCTCTCCTGATCTCTCCCCGTCCCTTTTGACTAGTATCAAGAGAGACTTCCAAATATAATCTATCTGTCCTCTCCTGATCTCTCCCCGTCCCTCTTGACTAGTATCTCTGACTGCCTTTCTGCTATTTCTAACTGGATGGCTGCCCACTTCCTTAAACTCAACTTGACCAAAACTGAAATTCTGGTCTTTCCTCCCTCAAGTGTTGCTACTCCTGTGTCTGTCTCCCTCCAAGTCAACGGTGCTAACATCAGCTCCACCACTCAGGCTCGCTGCCTAGGTGTTCTTTTGGCTCCGACCTCTCCTTCACGCCTCATGTTCATTCTATCGCCAAATCCTGCCGCTTCCATCTCAAAAACATTGCGCACATCCAACCCTACTTAACGCCAGATGCGACAAAGGTGCTGGTCCATTCCACTGTCCTTTCTCGCCTTGACTACTGTAAACCGCTTCTCAGTGGTCTTAGGTGCTCCCAACTCGCACTGTTACAGTCCATAATGAATGCCGTGGTGAGGCTCATCTTCCTGTATGCCCGCACCGCCCACGCATCACCCTTCTGTCAGTCCCTACATTGGCTTCCTGTAAGACATAGGACTCAATTTAAAATTCTGGTTCTTGCTTTCAAATCTCTACATAATGCTGCTCCCACCTATCTGTCCTCCCTAATACACAAGTATGTCCCAACTAGGCCCTTACGCTCTGCTGAAGACTTACGTCTATCTTCTGTCCTCCCACCTCTGATGCTCGCCTTCAAGACTTCTCGAGGGCTGCACCGTTCCTGTGGAACTCGCTTCCCTCCTCTGTTAGATGCTCACCCAACTCCTTCAAAAAAATCATTAAAAACCCACTTCTTCATAAAAGCGTATCAATTAAACTGTTAATAGCTCCTAACTGATTCCTCTCTTGCAACTGTCATTAGTCTAATACTGTCCTTACCTTTTGTGTCACTTTACCCCACTCCCTCTAGCATGTAAGCTCATTCAGCAGGGCCTTCAACCCCTCTGTTCCTGTGTGTCCAATTTTTCTGGTTACAACAAGTTTGTTCGTCCACCCACTGTAAAGCGCTGCAGAATTTGTTGGCGCTATATAAATAATAACATAATAATACAGATCTTTTTAGAGAGTAAAATTGGTATACTTACTGTCACAAATAACTGGTTTAAGTACAAAACGTTATTATTTATTAACCTGTCATGAAGGCAAAATTGGAGAGACTGGATCTCTTGAACCTATTTTACCTAGGATCTAGCTCATACCGGCCACTCTGTCTTTATTCAAATGGTTCCACACGATTTACCTATTCTAAAATGATTTAACTCTTAACAGCAGGACGACACCAGAGGACTCCTGTCATCATATGGTGCCTAGAGTGCCACTTTAATTGGAAACTGGAAGCATCATAACAACTGTAATGTATTGCAGTGTTTATGGTGCTAGGAGTATACAGTGTAGTCATTTTGGTTTTCTTGGCCGACAAAGCCCAACAACTCAGCTTGTCTCACCTTCCTAGATATTTATCAACACATTAATGGCTGCTGATGAGCATTTCCAATGTCGACATGATCAAAATCTCACTGTTCTGATATTTTCTAATGACGCTTCTAATTTTATTGGTTTCGTGTAAAAAGGGCACAGTAGCATACGTTAAGCACTCAAGTTTAGGTGATCACAATTCTGCTAAAGAGAAGTTATAAAAACGTTTTAATGAGACCATCAAAAAGTTAGTGAATTTATTGTAACTCTTTTTAACAAATAACCAATGCATGCAACAAGCACCACAATCACCTACCTTGACATGATGGTGTGTACAAGCATTGTTAACTAACAATTCCTCATTAACCCCTTAAGGATCAAACTTCTGGAATAAAAGGGAATCATGACATGCCACACATGTCGTGTCCTTAAGGGGTTAAAAAAAACTAGAAAAGTTAGACAAATGTATCGATTAGTTATGGATGCTGAATGGTAAAGTAGGTCCTAGTTTCTCAACCTATGGTATATGTAGCCCAGATAGTACACGCACCAAAGGCATGGGGACGGCTTTGCGCCCCCCACGAGGCATCAGACTGTGGGAGAATGGAGACGGAGAGCTGTACCTTTCATGATTTACCAACACTGCTCTCTTGCGTACCTTGCGGTGATGCCGGCATCTGGGTTATGATGTCACTCTGGCCCCAGCATCACTAAACCGCACACGAGGGAGCAGTGCTGGAAGAGCACAAAGATTACACATGACCCAGACAGGACACCATGGAAAGGATCCACTCCAGTTCTCCCAAAGGTAGGGAGGCTGGGTGGACTTTAAAAAAAATATAATAAATATAATAATAATTTGTGTATGTTTGAGAAAGTGTATGTGTCTGTCAGTGATTGCCAGTGTCAAATCTGTGAGAGTGTGAGTTAGTAAATGTGTCTGTCAGTGTCCTCTGTGTGTAAATGGGTGTGTGTCGGTGTCATGTGTGTCATTTTTTTTTCTGTGTGTAAATGTGTGTTTCTTTCCTCTGTGTGAAAATGTGTGTTGTCCGTGTCCTGTGTGTGCTTCAGTGTCCTCTGTGTGTAACTGGGTATGTATAATATGTGTGTGTTATATTTTCATTTTTGTGATTTCAGATTAATAGTTCATACACTCATCCTTACTTCCTTCATATTCACATTATATCATATTTATGTAAAATATATTCTTTACAACATTTAATCAAGCATGTTCTCCAATATAGGATTAACTTAAATATCAGTGTCTACATATTTCAATTGGAATTTAAATCAATAGAAATTGCTTTTTTCGAGGCAGGGTTAGTAAGTAATTGTTTTAGACCTGCAGGTGTAGATCTCTGTAAAGAATTGAGAAACACTGATGTAAGGGTGAAAAATATTTGTATTGCTAGCTGAATGTAAATTAACTAATTTGGCACCACTGAATTTACACATTTTAACACTGTATCACAAGAAAACATTTGGTGGTAGCGAATTAAGGAATATTTCATATCTTGTGTTTATTGATGTTTGAGTGCCCTTTTTTTTATTGTAAACCTTTGCGAGCTGAGAATGATGACTTCTCATTGATCTGTCCTTTTCCTGACTTATGCTTTTGTCTGTGCTGACACTGCTACTCTGAATATTTCACTGTCTTAAATAATAAAAATGTGTAACTAATTAGTTGTACAAAATAACAATTAAAAAAAATTGTAGCCCCTGCCGCATTTTAGTATATTCTCTTTGAGGAAGCAAATGTCCTAGTTTTTTTTGTTTGTTTTGTTGCTGCAGGATGGACTTGGATGATTGGCAGGTGGTCAAAAAGAAAAAGGCAGCCAAGAAAATGGTCAGAAGAAAAGAGCAGCCTATTTTTAAAGCAGAAACCTGCCCCGAGGTCCATGTTCCTGAATCCGTCGAAGAACAAAACAACATGGTCCAGAGAATTTATTACACTGTGTGAGTAACTTACATAGCATTTCCCATTTTTTACATTGATTATTTTGCAGTATACACCCCTCCAACAAAGCAATGTATTATTTGTTGTTGTTTTTTATCTCTAAACACTGCATATTAATACAACAGCTTTTACAAGTTTTACCTATATTGTGTTGAATTTCTGTAATTTAAACCAGGGAGAATCTGAAACAGTCTGAATTTTGGGGTTCTTGCCAAGGTAAGTGCAATGTAAGACAATATGTGCTACACAAAATATTGAAATCCCTATGTTATAACAGTGCCTTTCTTGTGTAATGACAATTAAACCCTGTTGTTTAGAGAAAGGTGGTAAACAGATCTGCAAAAGGTGAGGAAATTAATTTTAAGCTGTATTTTGGTTGTCAGTTTGATGTTTTATCCTTTTTGAACAAAACTAGAATTCCAGACATGGTCAGTGTAAAAGACACAGCTGAAAATGAATTACCAGCAGCTATGTATTAAGATGGACTACATTTCCCCTGATGCTTTGCCAGCATTATGGGAGATGTAACTCACAACAATCTGGAGTGCCCAAAGTAGCCTATCCCTATACTAGGATATACATAAATTCTAGAATGTTAATGTGTCTTGGTTGATTGTAGAACTTCACTTCTCTATAACATAAGTGAGGCTCTAATGCTGTTGTACCCTTTTATTTCAATTAGAATGTTTTCACGTGACTTTAGAAGAAAATGATTCAGGCAAACATCAAGTGGGAAGTCAACATGTTCATACACTCCACAACTCGGACTGTGTGTGCTATGGACTTGGGAATTTTTCTTCCTGTGTAATTGCTCGACACCAACTAGCTTTCCTGCTTTTGTTCCTAGAACAATTTAAGGTAATCAAAATCACAAATAAAAAGCATTGTACTTATTTTCTGGTCTTTATGATCATTCGTAGAAAAAAAACATTATTTTATATGCTTTAGTGCTGTATTGCACACTTTTGTACAGCATCAGCTGCATATATATAATGCTTATCCAACTACACTACAGAATTCCCTGCATATATGGACTGATTAATGTGGAATAGGGATAGTCCTAGCTTTTCTTTAAAGAAACACTCCAAACACTATAACCATTGCATCGCGCTGAAGTGCTATGGTGCCCAATGCCCAACCCACCGTAAGTAGCTAAGCCATTTTAGAATAGTTTGAATACCTACCTAGGGGACATTCCATTAACCAGCTGCTGTTCTTCAGCTAACGATCTAAGCAAGGCAAAATCAGGCTTAGCTCTGAGCTAAGAGTTTCCTACCAGAGATGAGGCAGTAAGTGGTGCCCCGGCAGACCCTAGGTTCAACTACGTACAGTAGAGTGAGTTCCAGGGCACTCTTGGCGCTATAACCACTATATATACTGTTGTGGTACTTGGAGTGTTCCTTTAATAACATAAAAGCATCCAAGAGACAAAATAATTCCTGAATACATGTTTTTTTCGACTATGATTTTGTTGTTTGTTTAATAATCCTAAATAACACGTGTTAAAGGGACATGCATCACTTGACAATATTTTATTTAACCAGCAAGTAAAGACTCTTAAACAAATATACAAACCAAAATAAAATGAGAAAAACTTTATAAACGGTTATTACATACTTTTCAAACTTACTATAAAGTTGATCAGATTGCATTGTTGGATATGCTTTTCAACTAGGGGTCTTTCCTCAGCTTCCCCCCTCCACCTCTTATGAACCCATCTCCGTTTTACTCAGTCTACTAATAACAGAAATACGACATCATTGTGCAGCAGGAAGTGAGAAACTCAACATGGGGTCTACTCTGCATCATACTGACCAGACTCCCTCTCTTCAGGATGTTGCAATGTGAAGGGATCTTCCAATTAGACATGTATAAATTTGTCAGGCATGCCTAATACACTTTTCCAGCATTCCTAGGGATAGGGCGCTGATTGGGTAGATCACGGCCCTCCCTGGAGGGGTGTGGAAAGCATAAGATAGAAAAACAGGTAAATATGAAATAATATTTACCTGCTTTTTCTGCCTGCAGAGTGAGGCAACTGTCTCAGTGAAAGCTAAAATGTTTGAATGCTAAAATGTTTGTCTCAAAGTGATGAATGCGCCTTTAACCTTGCAATACATGACAGCTATATAGATAGAGCTATATTGATATATAAAGTCAGCCTTCTATTCCACAAACTGTTTCATTTGTACAGAGATATGGAAAAGTGCTCCAAATAAGTTGTGTAAAAATAAAAATAAGTCCTATTGTGCAATCTATACTTAAATGTGTTTTGACTTGTATCATTTTAATATAGATCCCAAGAAACCAAACCTATGTATTTGACCCAGTTTTTTCTATGCTAGAGATTTCTGTTCTTCAGGAGCTTGGACTTAGTGTTATTTCTGAAAATGAGGTAAGTTTGGCATGGGGTTTATATGCTGTTCCCATTGACTTTAAGTTAGCTTTCTTTATTTGTAAATAGCAAGTGGCTTTGCTGTGGACAATATCCCGATCTATCATCAGATCGGGAAGTGTGTAACGGCCAAGCTAAAGCCTGCATGTCATCGTCCAAAAGTCTATTTATAAATTAATAGTTTGAGGATCTAAGTGCTCTTGCAAAAGTCGTGTGTCTGAAAGATCTTTGTTAGATAGAAGTATCATGTTTGCCTTTTTTTATGTCCTCTTATTTATCACAAAAAGAACAGGTAATTTATAGGTCCAAAAAAAAACTAAGTTGTAAATGTTGTGCATTTCTAACAATCCATTATCCTTAAGACTATTGGGGTTAAACACCTGGAAAATACAAATAAATGTTATCCTGAAAATGTTACTAATTGGTATATGTGTATTGTTTTGCTGGTAACAGGAGGGGAAGCGTACAATTTGTAGACACACTGTGTTCTATATGCCACACTGCGGGAAGGCCCTCTACAATAATCTGTTGTGGAGTAACTGGTCGCAGGATGCTTTATCCAAATTGATTGTAATTGGCAACAGTTTTAAAGGCATTGAAGAAAGGTACGTCATTTAAAGAAAAGTTGAACATCATTTAATTAATTTATATTTTATTTATATTTTTTTGTTTTTGCTGTGCATGATAAAGTACAACATATTGGCAGTCGTGAAATAGCTTAATATCATCAAAAGTGATCAATTTTCAGAATATACATGACAAGCATATATAAGCATGTGAGATAACAAAAAAAAAAGAAAAAAGCAAGTGTTAGGTCAGAGGTAAAACAGTAAGTCTTAGACAAGATGCTAGAGAAACAAGCAGTGGTCTAAGGAATCGTAAAATTTCATAAACAATAGTGAGCGGGTGTAAAGAAGGGCCTAGTGCTCTTCCTGATGTAGATCAAGGGCTCAGCTAAACCCACTCCAACCAGGGGTAGAGTAGAGTCCTGCAGCTGAGTTATGTAAGTCAGGCCTCCAAGCCTCGATGGGATCCAACTAGCTGTGCCAGATGGCACATTTGGGGATTCCACCGGTACCTCCAACTGTTGGAGAATTCCACCATTGGATCAAAACGGTACCGCAGTTGTGGACTTCTGCTGCAGATTTGGGGTCGGCTTTTGCGGTGAGTGGTTGCACAATTTGCTCAGAACAGGTTGGGGCATCCTATTCTCCACCTTGTGCCAGAAATTGTTGAGGATTTTGTCCAGCCTGGACAAGATATCAGGTTTGTCCTCTGTGGTGTCAGGGACCCACGCAGTGTCCGCCATTTTGGCTAAGTAGCTGAAGTTTGCAGTATCTATTGTGGCATTGCCTCTAGCTCCCACTAGGTCGGGTAGCCTCCCAAGGGTGGACTGGGATCACCCCGCTTGTCCGAGGTGGGTAACAGGGCTTTAGTACAGTGTTGATTGCCGTCAAGCAGCCCCTGCATGGGAGATCGGCTTCCTCCCTGTTCGATGCGCATCAGGCTACATGATCCGAACTGTGCAGTAGGTGAGCTCCTATAAATTAGTTGTCTAAGTGACTGATTAGTCATACAAGGATGACCAGCCCAGCTTATGTTCAACATATTTTCCCATGATTCTCGGTCAGTTAAATTGTTGGCAGTATGTTGTTTTAATGCTGTCACATATTGAAATCCATTACTTTACAGGCCCAGTGTTACCCAAGTTTTTACTGTGAAGGGTCCAAATACCATTCTAAAGCTTACATGAAGAACAGACTGTTTGTAATTTTTTTTTTTATTACTGGCTTTTTTAAAGTGCCAACATATTCTGCAGTGCTGAATGTGTAATATTAAAATGGTGCCAATGACTTTATAAAACCCATGACCAGTACATCAACACAGGTTCTTACATTGGTATCAAATCACAAATATTCAAACTTGCCTGGCATAAAAATATAGGTAGATTAAAACAGGTAAATTAAAAACCGCTGGGGGGCGGGGCCTGACAGCCAAGATGGCCGGCAGCACTTTCTAAGAGCTCCAGCACTAATGAGCAAAAATAGGCAATTTATGATTGAATCGACACCCAAAGAAGCTCGGGCTGACCGGAGGGCGAAGCAGAAACAAGCAGGGACCATAGGGAAACCCGTCTCTTATAACAACGCCAAGATACCACTCTGTCCGACCATGCGGCCTAGTCCTGAGTGGGGCCATTGGTGGGAGGCGGCCGATCCCTCGGCACAGAACAGGCACCCAACGGCAGGCTCACAACAGCCCTGTGACCCCCCTTGGACCGGTGGGGGTTATCCCGGTCCCCGCGGGGGTCACTTGCTGCCACACAGCTGACTGAAACCATACAGCCACAGAAAGCACCAAAGTCAGCAGCCACAGTCTCACCCACGCGACCCTGGGAGAGCACAGAGAGTCCCACTAACTGCCTCACTGAGCAAGCAGACTTCTCTGCAAGGCTGGACGCGATATTCAACGAGTTTTGGAGAAAACTGGCCCAGCGTCAAAGGCAGCAAGCGAAACCTAAGCAAGACGACAGCCTACCTCAAAGTCCACGAGGTACACGCAAAATGGCCGCTGCGCCTGGCCTCCGGCTCCCTCACATCCATCCTCACCGCTCAACTCCCTGTGTCAAACAGCGGACTGTAGCAGGGATCACCTGGTCCCAAACTGGACTGGGAAGCCACAAAAGAAAGCACCCTACCCACCGCCCATACACCCAAAAGGTCATCCGGGCATCGGTGCTCCCAAGGGCCCACGATCTTAGCGCACATCGCGGGGGGACCCATAGACACAGGGGAACGACTCCCGTCTCAGCCTGGGCTGGGGGAGCGAAGCGGCCGCAGCTCTATCACCATGGAACCACTCGACGCCAGCGGCAATACAGATCCAAGCAGAGCACCAAGACGGCAGGAGGACTAGACTTGCATAAACCGGTACCATCACTACCATCGACGGGGATCGGCTGATCCTGACACTGGACTCAAAGTTAGTGGACACTATGAGCTAGGATATGTACACTGAGGGCCCATCTCCTTCACACTCACACCTGATCTTATCACCTAGCTTACCGCAGCCTTAATGTTTATATGCCAGTCAAGTTGTTCCAGCATGCCAGTCGATGCTCTTACCGGTATAATGTAATGAATCGTATGTCCTGTGGTGAGAATGTTTCGCCTCTAAGTCAACTAGCCAGAATGACCCAGATATGGAGGTTGTCTAATTTCTAGCTCACAAGGCACACATTAATATAACACCAATGTAAAATCTGCCGTACTCTCACAAATGACACCCAGCGGCCACTAAGCCACAGCATTAATAATTATCGTTTAGCAAATTACGAGACTTCTTCCCTTGACAGTGTTATTGTCAGCCTACTCAATATGTTTAAATTGTGTTAACTATCATCTCATTATCTGACAAAGCTTGAATCTGCTTGTTTATTACTCTTAAAAAATGTGTGTTTATTTCTCTTATTTGCCGCCGGACTATGACTCCTGAAATGCTTGTAACTATTGTCGTGTCGCATAGCCTGTATGACAATAACCGACAATTGAATAGCTACTATGCCTTAGCTCGAAATAACGGCCTGTAACGTGTATTTATACCTCTCACTGTGTGCATTGTAGAAAGGGGCAGTGTTTTACTTTGCTTCACTTTACTTTACGTTACTTTGTCATTCTTAACCTGGAACACTACACTCGGGCCACACATCTGTTCCCCCAAACACACCCAGCTTGGTCCTAAGCATGATTAGTTAGGCATGTAGTAATAAACTACTGCCCTGCCGCATTTATAACACACAAGCATTGCTTCTCCTGACATAAAACTGTTATAATTCACTCGATGTTTTGCTTATGGTTATCTACTTTATTATAAATACGATACCCGTGTTAGTAATCTTATCGAATGCTTAAATAATATAAGATGAGGCAGTCCCTCATAACACCCAGCATCATTATCTTCATTTTATCTCATCGAATCTTACACGGACATATCAACTGTTTAGTTAAGCATGTTAAATATAAAAATTGTGCAAATTATCATGCCACTGTCTTCCTTGTATGAAGCCTGAAATACGCTGTTGTGGCGTTTGTTGATATATTGTGACCATCTGCACATCAAAAATAAAGAATAAAAAAGAAAAAAAAAAATTAAAAACCGCTGTGGGGCCAAGGCTGTGCTAGAACTTTTATATTAATCACTAACCCAAACACTGTATATATTTAGGAGCTATATCTTTCATACAGCATATCCAGTCTAGTTTTGTTTTTTGTACAGCTAGATCACACTTTGCCAACAAGATTCTGCATGAGTCTGCATGAAATGCTTTATAAGTTTCATTCTGGGGTAGTTAAATAGATGTTGCTCACTTAAACCACTTACATTTTTTAATGGTGTACAAACCTTCAACATTAAAAACATGAATCCTGATACTTCCTGCAATTTTGGTAAAGTTACAAATTTTCAGTGCACACAATGTGTCATTTTTATTACAAAATGGGACTCTCCAAGCCCTATACTCCCTATATAGCATATTGCCTTGGTTATGGTGTATAAAGCCTATGGTTGCAATTAATCCAGTTTTTGTCAAACTGTTGTCAAGCAGCTTAGTAAAAACTGGTGAATGCCTTGGCGTCCAGTGTGCATGCTCAATGATTTGGGAACAATAGTGAAGTTCAGTTTCTCATCATCTGTTTAAAAATGTGTACCACCTAAGGAGGTATTGTATGCTTAATATAATACTTTATCACGGCAGTATAGCCTTTGATGTTTTTGTCAAATCACTAAAGAATGATTTCACAAAAACTGGAGGAGTGCACAATAGCCACTACTACAGTGGATATAGCGCTTAAAGAGTCCTTTTTAAGGCAGTCTTTCATAGTATCTTCAAATTTTGGGTCAACCTAACTTTTAACGAGATTGTGACTAAAGATATTTTCCCTCATGCAATGTTAAAAGCAAACATCTTACCTATATTAAAACAGGGTAAAAAACCCATCAGATTTAACCAGTTATCGTCCAATCTCATTAATGTATATACAAAGTTATTCTTCTCAATACAAGCTGAGCGCTTTTGGACATTTTGTTAGCTATTATCCATCAGGATCAGATCGGTATGTTCCATTAAGGTCATCTTGCAGTAAAATCAGAAGGATAATTAACATTTTTGGTTTGGCTGAGAGAACGTGTACTCCCCTCCTTAACCTGTCGTTAGATGCAGAGAAAGCATTCGACAGGGTGGGATGGGAGTACATGTTCGCTACATTACAGTGCTATGGTTTGAGTGATTGGTTGCTCAGAACCAAATCTTTTTATATTGTACTAACAGCTAAGGTGGTGGGTACGATCCAGAGTGGTTTGATGTTAAAAAAAACAGAACTAGACAGGGTTGCCCCTATTTTGTACATTATATTGAGAGAACAGAGATATATATATAAAGGGGTACCCAATTAAAAAACAACAGTCAAAACTCTATTTAAAAGCAGATGATTTTTATTTTTCTGATTCAAATAAATCACTAAAGTATTTGCTAGAAGATTTAGATAGATTTAGTTACATCTTTGGTTATTAATTAAATATGAGCAAAACGGTCGCTCAACTTTTTAATCTAGATAAAAATGAACAAGAGTGTATTTGTAACAGTTATAGTTTTGACTTTTCAAAAAATGCTTTCACTTATTTGGATGTTATTATTCCCAAAGACATAAAAAAAATAGTGGAATGTAACGTTCTTGATAATTTAAGATCTATGAACATATTACTAAAAGAATGGAGTAATAAAGAGTTATGGTACAGAAGAATTAATATTATAAAGGCGTATGTTTTACCCAAATGGGTTTATTTATTCAGAATGTTATCACTAAGCTTCCCAACTCCATGGTTAGAGTTAATCCACGAAGTTTCAGGAATTTTGTGTGGAAAGGAAAAATACCATGTACAGTGGGACCTCGGTTTACAAATGACTCGGTTAACATAATTTTCGGTTTACAAATGTAAATCCATTGAAAATAATGCCTCAGTTTACAAAATTTTTTTTTTTCAATACAAAGCAAGTTTCCCCAGGATGCATTTTACCTGGGAGGTTTATAGCACTGCCCCCTGCATGCTGGAGCCTCGCCATGTCGAGTGGGGAGATGTTGGAGTGGCTTTTGCATCGAGTTTTGGAGCCATTCTGGAAATTGTTTGCAGTTGTTTTGGGACTTTTTGGTGCATTTCTCAAGCTGTGGAAAGGTAGAGAGCTGAGCTTTGTTGTTTGCATCCCTTTTATTGTGTGTTCTGCATTGTGGGTTGGTTTTTATGCCAGCTCATTTTTACTTTTTTCTGACCTCCAGAATGGATTAATTGGTTTTAAATGCATTCCTATGAGAAACCGCGTTTAGGTTTAAAAAATGTTCGCAATAAGAAACGTCCTGGAGAACACGTTAAATTCGTAAACCGAGGTCCCACTGTATTAGTATTAATATATTGTAAAAAAAATATTAAAATGGGTGGTTTACGTTTTCCTATTGTTCAACAATATCATGATGCAAGTACTCTATATCATATCAATAAGATGTATTATCTAGCCTTCAAAAATGAAGATTGGAATCTACAATGTCATTCTATAATTGTATGTGTTATTAATTACAAAATTGTCTATCTTCTCTAAGGTGTCCCACTGTTTATCTGTTGATTAGCTTGTGGAATTGCCGTTGGGGCAAGTCAAACATGCTTGTAACCTTCTGCACTATAAAAATATAAATGTAAAAAAATTTAAGATTGGTATTATCCAGAGACAAAAAAAGCAGAGTGTAAGAGAGGACGTGTAGGGGAGCACCACAAGCAATACTTACCAGCCCGGGGCCTACTTACATGGCGAGTGCGGGAGGGCCAGCCGCTCTGCCACCGCCATGACTAGCTGCCTCGGTGAAAAAGGGCCATTGTTGTCCCGTCCCCCTCTGGACCGGCGGGGGTCTTCCTGGTCCATTCACATACGGGGAGCACACACCTCAGGGGCACCCTACACCGCAACTCCGACCAAACACCCCCATGAGGACAATCCAAGATGGCTGATGGCAGTGATGCTGACTCGGAGCAACAGTCTGCCGACGACTGGGCGGAGGCCTTCCGGGCTAAATTTGATGCAGTCTGCCAGAAATATTGGGAGCGACTAGGGGAGAACCACATCCGACGCCAACCACAACGGCACCGCACCAACGTGCAACCCCCCAAGCAAGGCCGAAGCACCCAGCTAAGGCGACCTCAACAGAGAATTGGCTCACTGGCAGCACGGCCCGGTGGAGGAAGCAACCAAGGGGCACCGGCCGCTCAAAGCAGACATGCAGAACACTAGCAACGAAGCCAAAACCACACTCGAGAAAACCCCAAGGACCCCCCCTCAACCCAAAAGAGAAACCAAAGCCACGACAAGACAAGCCTGACGGGACGAGGTTTACCACAATCTAACACGTCTCCAACCAACGACATCCCCCTACCACAGCCCGGGCCGGAGACACCTCAACTGAAACCCCAAACAGACCCACTTGACCGCTGCACCGCAATGCGACATCACGGACATCCGCAACCCCAACGAGGTATAGGGTGAGCATCCAGGGGGAATCGGGACAGTAGATCCCCAGGCGGGGAGACCCCACACAGCACCCAAAGTCATAGCGGGAACTCACAATCTCAGGGGCACAATCTTATACCCCTATCTATGCCGGCTTAATCGGAACGGGACTCATGCCTGGGGGACCCCAGGGGACTTGATTGTTATTTTGTTGTTTAATATTACTCGGTTCACTCCTCTGCAGTATTAAATTTATTGTGCATCGTGCCAAAGCTTCACGAGCACACCCAACAAGACACACACAAACTCCTCTCACATGTACTCCATTACCATGTCACAGCCGGTTCTACGACATATAACGTTGTTTTCACCTCTCACATGACACGCTACATGCCACCAGCTCCAAGCATAACTCTTCAATGCATATGGAGCCTAGTTGCCACACCATCACTTAGCAATGTAACATAGCATGTTATGCCTAGGCTGCCATAACTAGCTCCTGTCATGTGATGATACTTTTCATGCAACTTAATGTAATGGCTGTGTTCACGCTCTGTTAAACTAAACAACTACTACGAAACGGTGATATTTGTATTACAATGAATGCTCAAGACCTAGCCTGTATGTCACGTAAAATCAAAGTGCACTAGTTTGTTTGTATAGCTACTGTTATATGTATGCATAACCTGTGATGTCCACAGCCTAGTTTAAGCCCTGTCCAAGCCTAAACACAGTTTAACACTACTCTTACAAATCGAATGCATAAGCTAGCAATAATATAAAAATTACTGGCAACACGGCCTAGTAATCACTTGTCCCGCATGTTTAGCGAGGAAAATGCCTAAGGACTGCTTTCGGGGCACCTCATGCCTGCTTGTAACCTTTATGTGCACTGCAAAAAAAAAAAAAAAATGCAGAGTGTAAGGATTTATCCACTCTAATATGGAACCTAGAAAACAAAAAAAAATACACAGACCGGTAAATATGGTTGTATGATACATAACCATATATTGCTATTGTGGAAGGATTTTTTTTTTTTTTTTAAAGCTAACATTTCCAACAATATTCAGAAATTTTGGAATTATTCTAAAATTTTAAAAATTTGGAAAATCTAACATTAGAAAACTGGAGGCGAGCAGGAATATAAAAGGTGTATCAAATTGTAGAAAATAGCGCTATAAAGAAATTTGCAGATCTGCAACATATCTATTGTTTACCTTCACAGGAAGCATTTAACTATATTCGAGTGAAAAGCATTTTGAAAGAATATGCTTTGATGGAAAGTAACGAAGTGGCATCAATGCTGGAAAATATACTCTTGCAGAAAGACAATAAAAAAAATGTTGGCTAAATCTGCAAAATTAATTAAATTACTAAATAATAAAAAACAGAAAAACAGAAATATTACTATGTGGGAAAGAGATCTGTATCAGCATTTTCTAGTTTTACTAAGAATATCCATGATCTCTCACTAATAGATATGCACTTTAAGTGTATTAAGAGATGGTATTATGTTCCAACTAGATTAGCCAAAATGTTTTCAAATTGAAATAATAAATGGTGGAGCTGCGAGGAAGAAATAGGCTTCTATATGCATATTTTCTGGGAATGTAAAAAAGTACGTACTTTATGGTCATGGGCTTTTGAGTTTATCAAAAAAGCACTAAGGATAAGCGTTAAAATCTTCCTGAAAGTTGCTTTACTAAATATGAACTTGTCTGAATGCTCAAAAGAACAAGCATATTTAATAACTCACACTTGTGCTTCAGTTAAAATTTTAATTGCAAGAGGCTGGAAGCAGAGCCATGTTTTTTTCAAAAACAGCATTTTCTAATCAATTCTTGTGGCATCTTAAGATGGAAAATGGCTTGCGGGGGCGGCGGAAAAAACAAATATTATATCAGATAATGTCTTGGAACTAGCACAAAAAATATTGTAGTAGTTTCTTTTATATAGAAAAATAGTGAAGCTGAAATAACCTTTGTCCCTGGCTGGCAGCCAATTAGATTTATGTTATATGTTTTTAAATACAGGAGTTTTGTTCTGTTTTCTCTTTGGGAGTACAGGCATGCTATTGTAATTATTGTTGTTTTTTTTTGTTTTTTCCTTTGTGGTGTAAAGATGTAAAGAACTTTAATGCTTCAGTAATTATTGTTTTATGGTTTTTATGTCTTGTAAATTTTTGTAAAAAAAAAAAAAGAAAATCTTCCCGGAAAAGGAAATTAATAAAGAGTATTAAACAAAAAACAAAACAAATATGGGTCGACCTATAACCATATACTTTTTATTATGTAATTTAGCATATTTAATTTATATTGTATATACATATGAATATATTGTTTTTTGTCTCATAGAATGTTGTCCAGAATACTGCAGAAAGACTATGTATATATTCAAAAGGTATGGTGACACTTTTTTTTTTTCATATCATTTTGTGAATGAAGCTTGAATTGACATGTCTTGAAATATAATAATCATGTACAATATTAACAAATCACTAAGTCTATAAATGATGAATTTAAGCAAGCAATTCTTTATTTATCAAATCTTAATTTATATGTGTGTATGTATTCAATATACTCTTGGTTGGTTAAATCTGGCCACATTCCCTGAATTTTCCATTTTGTATGCTACCTAATAGACAACACATTATAAGCTTATAAAAGGTTCTGATTCTATTTAGCTATACAAAGATGACATATTTTATTGGCTTCAGTAAGATCAGCCAATCTTGTTTGCCAAAGTTTATTTTCTACAGTGACGTTTTGATAACATGATGGCCCTTGGCACTGAAAGCAATAATTCTGGGTGTTATTATTTATTACATAAGGGGAATTTCTTTGTAGTATGCTTAATATTTAGAGAGTGTTTTTATTTTTCCCTTTCTATATAAATCTTTAAAAGGATACATTAAGCACCACAGTGTTAACTTAAAGGGACACTGTAGGCACCCAGACCCCTTCAGCTCATTAAAGTGGTCTGGGTGATATGTCCCTTTTGCACCTAATGCTCCAATGTTAAACATTGCAGTTCCAGAGAACTTTAATGTTTACATTGCAGCACTAAGTCTGCCCTCAGTGGCTATCTACCAGACAGCCACTGGGGGCGCTTCTGGAATCGTATCAGACTTTTGGTCCGTTATCTGACACTGGAGGTCCTCACTCTCTGCATGAGGACCTCCAGCGTCATATTTTTTCCCATAGGAAAGCATTGATTCAATGCTGCGCATGCGTATTAGACCCTGCTCAACGCGGGACGGAGGAGGGGGTGGAGCTTCAACTCAGCACCAAGGGACATCTGCGCTGGGATAACGTAAGTAAGTAAAGGGTTTTAATCCTCTTATTTACCGGCGAGGGCATGAGGGTGGGGGGGAAGAAGTGGGATCGGTAGTGCCAGGAATACAGCTTTGTATTCCTGGCACTACAGTATCCATTTAATGAAGAAGTTTTGATGTATAGATCATGCCCCTGCAGTGTCACCGCCCAATATTACTATAAGGGAAATTAAAGGGACACTATAGTCACCTGAACAACTTTAGTTTCATTAAGCAGTTTTGGTGTATAGAACATGCCCCTGCAGCCTCACTGCTCAATACTCTGCCATTTAGGAGTTAAATCCCTTTGTTTATGAACCCTAGTCACACCTCCCTGCATGTGACTTGCACAGCCTTCCATAAACACTTCCTGTAAAGAGAGCCCTATTTAGGCTTTCTTTATTGCAAGTTCTGTTTAATTAAGATTTTCTTATCCCCTGCTATGTTAATAGCTTGCAAGAGCCTCCTGTATGTGATTCAAGTTCAATTTAGAGACTGAGATACAATTATTTAAGGTAAATCACATCTGTTTGAAAGTGAAACCAGTTTATTTTTTTTTGTTTGTTTGTTTGTTTGTTTTTGTTTTTTTAAATGCAGGCTTTGTCAATCATAGCCAGGGAAGGTGTGGCTAGGGCTGCATAAACAGAAACAAAGTGATTTTAACTCCTAAATGACAGTGAATTGAGCAGTGAAATTGCAGGGGAATGAGCTATACACGAAAACTGCTTTATGTAGCTAAAGTAATTTAGGTGACTATAGTGTTCCTTTAAGACATTAGATTTTTCAGGAAGGTTGTAGGGAGAGTTACAGCCAGGCATGCGGGTCACAGCAAGTAAATAAAATCCTAAATGGCAGAGAATTGAGCAGATAGGGGCATGATATATACATCACAACCACTTCAATAAGCAAAGGTTGTTTCAGTGCTTAGTATCCATTTAGCTTTCTATAAATCCTAAAGGAAGATTTATGTTGGTTATTGGGTCAAGTATTCTTATAGCCTCAAAATGGACTGCTCTGTTTTTAACCTGTAACCTATCCTTTCATTTTTTCAATAGAGTTTGAAAGCTGTTGAAGAAGCAGCATTACCAGAAAATCACCAGTACAACGATGTTTTCAATGACATTTCCATCCATTACTTTCCTATTCAAAAACTCAGGACTTTGCCCAATGAAATATGGAAGCTGCGAGAGCAGCCTAAATACTACGAATGTGATGATCTAGAGATCATAAGAAAATAGAAATGGCAACAGTTCTGTTCTTCTGCATACATCCTACCCTAACATTTATGGATCACACCTTGCACTGGAAGATGAAATACTGAATGCTGAAGATATTCTCATAGTCACAAGCTGAGGGTATTTCAGCCATATGGAAGTTCATCATTTCGAAGACTGCACACAGAAATCCAAAGACAATGTAATTTATCTTCTAAAACAAGGTTTCTTGCATTCATGTATATTTCTTGTCTTTCCACTTAGTTTTGTGGTTTAAAAGCATCTCAATTTATCTAAAGTAAAAATAATTCTTTGATTTCATAATGTATGTTGTAACCTACAAAGGAAGGTTAACAATATGGAAGGAAAGTCAGGCTCCTAATGATGCACACTAAATTTTGTCACTCATTCCTGCAAAGTATACAGGTCTGCACGTTTCATTTTTATGCAGTTTTGATTAATAACTTCTGTGGAAGAATCCTAAATGAAGGGCATATTTACAATAAATGCATGCAGTTTAGACAGATGCATAGCCAAGCAATTTGATTTTTTTTTTTTTTTAGTAATTATGACCACATAATGTTTTCTGATGGCATTTTGGGAGTTGGCATTCCCAAAATATCTGCATAATCTTACCATATAATCACTGGCATGGTATATGCCTTTTTTTTTTTTCTTTTCTTTAACTTTTGTATACAACTATAAAACTACTATTTCTGTTTTATCAGAACCTTTTGAAACATTATAATTTAAAAGCAACTTTGTAATCTCTAAACCTTTATAATCACACACTGTTTCTGGAAAATAAAAATGGTAACTCATTTTTAATTTTATAGGTATCCCTAAAAATAGACATTTTACTTTTAGTTTTTTTTTTTTTTTTATCATAGCTACCAGTTACACATGGAAGCTTTACTTTTGTACTTTTTATATATTTAATGAACTGGAGAAATTTAGAGAAACTAAAATGTATTCTCTGATAAAAAATACAGAATGACCAGTGGATAATATTAAAGGGATACTATAGGCACCCAGACCACTTCTCAGTGAAAAGGTCTGGGTGTCCTGTCCCTGTCGTTTTAACCCTGCAAATGATAACCTTGCTGTTTCGTAGGCCATAGAGAGCACTGGGTTGAGGGAGAAACCTTGGTTTACTGGGGTGGAGGGGTTATACATACGCTATAGTGGTTTCAACATAAAGGGATACAGAAACGAGGGTAAATTTAGAAAAGTGTGTGTGTGTGTCGTCGTCCAGAGGAAAAAAAAAAATCCTGTGTCTGTGCAATGAGAAAAAGGGCCCAAAGTTTCCTTCAGGTGCCTGATTACAACACACAGCCACCGGTTTTACCCATGCAATAGATAAACAACTCAAAAGTAGGTAAATTACATATGTTAAAAAGAAAAAAAACCTTTATTACGTCATCAGACATTTAAAAAACTAATGTGAAAACCAAGTGATCAAACAAAATCAGTGCAATGTGTGCTAGTGAATAAAAAAAGGGGGATCCAACGGAGCCTACCGTAATAGATCCATCATCTGACTGCTTCAATTAAAGTTTATGCTTGAGAGACGCTGTTCAAATATATGAGTGTGCACATGCGGTAAAGTATCTCTGCATGTAGCTATTAGAGCTAAAACAGACTCATTCAAGATACATTTGAAGTCACGAGGATCTATAAAAGTCTCTACTACAGAGACATAACAGCTATAATAGCTATACGTATATATGGGTTAGGGTAGATAGCTGTATAGAGTAAAGTAAATGATTGGTAGATAAGAGGAGATAACAGCTTATATCCCTTTAAAATACTCCTAAGTACTATATATGTATAAGGGCTAAAATAGATAACTATGAAGAGTACAGTAAATCACAATTTATGTCCCTTTGAAATACCCCTAGATATTGTATTGCAGTGTATATAGGGGTGTATCTGGGAATAGCAGGAAAAATCTAAATGGGTGCAGCAAAGATTATTGCCCCACTAGGTTAAACAAACATGCAGATTCCCAGGTAAGATACCACATCCCCCAGCATACACGGGATATGGGGACTATAAGTGGACCTCCATGTCCCTCTATCAGTTTAAATATGGCTAAGATAGTGCAGTTAAATATCCAAGACTCAGTACTGCAGAAGGAACTATCTTATAGTGTAGCTCAAATAAGTAGCAAAGTATCTGGAAAACAAAAATTAGATACAGTTTCCCAATTAGACACTTAGTACTGGGCTACAGATTCAATCATATCCTGTCTGCTGTACAGTGTTCCGAGGAGAAATACTAACTGTCTGGTTGGGGCTGATTAATTAGCTGCATTGCATTAAAAAACTCAGGATGTCTGCCAGATTTGAAATGCTATGCTGACTAGCAAATGCCATATACGAGTACCAAGTGGATAATCTGCAATCCCTAGAAATAGCCTGAGTTAGGTTAGCTCACATAGTACTAGCTAGTATAGAGATAGGTAGGTTCCATTAGAAACCCTAATTAAAATAAAATAAAGCTTAAATGCAGCGTCGTCCCCCTCCCACCACTTCTCCAACTTTCTTCTCATGTTTCTTCTTTCTGATGTTATAGTCAGTGGGTATTGCCACATCTTCTATGACTACAGTCTTCTATTCCTTGTCTACCACAACAATCTCAAGTTGGTTGGTCAGTACTTGCTTGTCTGTCTGAATCTGGAAGTTGCACAGCATTTTAAGGATCTTAGCCCCTTCATTCTCAATTACCCTTTGTGGTATGTCCCATTTGGACTTAGGCTGTTCCAGTTCATATTCTGAGCAGATGTTTTAGTACACAATTCCAGCAACTTGGTTGTATCTCTCAGTGTATGCTGTTCCTGTTAACATCTTGCAAGCAGCCACTATGTGCTGGGTTGTCTCAGAGACCTCTTGATATATGTGTATGAATTTCCACGATTATTCACTAAAGTGTAGATTTTGGGAAACTCATATCTTAATGTGTTTTATTTGGCACAAACATCAACGATCAAATTGATTACCAAATCACTCTTCATAATAGTCTCCCTTACATAGAGTCACTTACTTGAAATTACATTTATTTGATAGTGAACTTATTATATTATTCAAAGATAGATCTTTTCCTGGGATAGAAAACAATCAAACCTTTTCTGTGTGCATATTTATATATGCATGAATGTATCATGCCTGTGTGATGTTTAAATCCCAATCCCAGGAATTGCTCAGGAGAATCCTATTCACACTCCCAACTGACCTTGGACATAGGTAACATCTGAAATAACAAACCGTAAAATAACCAACATTCTCAACGAGACTGGGCTCTTTGTTTTTCAGGCTTTCTGCACAGTCTATATCCTTCGGGAAAATTTAAATCAAGTTGGTGTACTGTTTTTGCTTTCCCAACTATCTTACTGATAATTTTGAGACCTCTTACTTGGTTCCCAATGGATGTTGAATATTAAAATATGTATTATGTTTCAGTGTTGCTTGGTTTTCCTAGGTCCTATAATGAGCTCTGCCCTTTTTTCCCTGTTTATAGTTATAGAATGATTTAGTCTGCTTTACATCGCCATTGTAAAACTCTCCAGATGTTTGAACAGTATACAGTTTAATATTAATAATACCGCCATAGTGCAGATTTTTTTTACCATCTGTAAATGTTTGGAATACATATATCTTTACTACTTCTTAAATATTCATGCTATTTGATGAATGTACAATTGTATTAATTTCTATGGGAGCAAAATAGGTGTAGTTGTTTATTCTTTAATGACAATACACTCACAAATAACTTTCCTCTATCTGCTAATCATAGGTGTAGTGTGCATTCTTTGCACAATATGTGTACATAACATGTGGAAAATGTTTAACTAATGAATGATATAGGTGCAAAAGGTTTGAAGATTTAATTAAATTTAGCATATTAATTCAGACCATAATAAAACACAAGCATATAAACAACTTTAGCATAAAGGAACACTTTTGTAGCCCTGCAGTTGAAAAAAATGTCATTCTCCTTTGCTGTTCCTCTGTAAATTAGCATAGTAAAACTGCAATTTTATTCAGATGATTTCAGAGAAACCACCTGATTGGCGCAGCGTTTAGCCATGCATGCACACTGGCCTCCAAATGCTTTTTTTAAGGGGCAGAGCTTGAGCGAGAAACCTGGCACAGCAAGGGGGAAAAAAAGTAAGTTAAAGGGACACTTCAGGCACCCAGACCACTTTTGCCCATTGGAGTGGTCTGGGTGCCAACTCCCACTACCCTTAACCCTGCAACTGTAATTGCAATAATTACCTTGCAGGGTTAAGTCCTCCCCTAGTGGCTGTCTACTAGACAGCCACTAGAGGGCACTTTCTGGTCGATAGCACAGGTTTCCTGTGCTATAGCGTCGCTGGACGTCCTCACGCTGGGTGAGGACCACCATCGTCGCTAAAATCCTCATTGAAAAGCATTTTCAATGCTTTCCTACGAAGAGGTCTAATGCACATGTGACATTGCCGCGCATGCGCATTAGGGCTCCCCAGCCACCGGGATATGTCGCTGCCTCTGGTAAGTGACTGGTTTTCACCTCTTCAGCAACCAGGGATGGGAGGGAGAGGGAACCTGCAGTGCCAGGAAAACTGAGGAGAGTCCCTTTAAGATAGGAGGTAAGTTACTTAGGGGGGCGGGACTTGACCACCATAATGGCAAGTCACATGACACACTTGCTCCTGACAAATAATGGATAATTAGCAAATTAGAGGGCACAAATACCCTACTACTTACCTTTCTGGTTTCGGTGCCACTGTCTGGAACAAATGAGGTGTCACTCCCGAAAAAAGCAATGCCTGTTATTGAGCCTCTGTGGCCTGGCGTGGACCCATGGGGGGAGACGCTGCTGATCTCTTTGTCTGGGCACTCTTTTAGACAGGTGAAGTCCCGCACTCCATCCCCTGGATAAGTGGGAGATATACAAGTTCCGCTGGGCAATTTAGTCTCCTTGACAAAAGTTTGTGAGCTACTCATTCCTGCAACAGCGTGGCATTCACAAGATGGTCACTGTAACGACACTACAACCCAGCTGCGAGAACCTGGAGTGATCCTCTTTCACATTAAGTTTGAAGCATCTCTGTTAAAGGTTCTGGCAATGTATAAGCAACAGATCAGCAACTCCTATCTCTCCAGATGATTGGAAGTCCCATGTTGTGCTATCTGTCTTTCTTCTGGACAGGGGAGTAAACGCCCTGCAGCCGTCCATATACCCAGGGTTTCCAGATCTCACCACTTGGAAGTGGAGGATCCATGGACTAAGGGCACTGGCCCTCTCTAACACCTGGGGCCAAAAGTATGGGCTTCTGTGGCAATGCAACCTCAACTCGGACAAGCATGGGGAAATCCAGCGAACCCTGCCACATTGCTAGACTGAGTGGGGCAGACAAGTTTGGTGTGGTGCTTGACTCTAGCTTATGGCCTGTCAGCGGCATACGGGGGCTCAGCCTGGGATATCTATTTTTGGTGACAACACCATCTTGGCCACCAAAGCAGTGATTCATGTTTAATTGCTGTATCCTCTGTTATTTACACTGTTCACTCATATTTGATGCCCAGCGGCATTTCCACTAATATCATAAAAGACTGTACTATACACTGGTCCCTATTTTCTCCATGCCTTGTTAACCTCACACATCTAATATTTTAGTTATTTTAATGTCAGTCTAGCCTGCTCATACATGTTACTTTTATTTCATACTACGTTATAAAAAAAAAAAATTAGTGATAGCCACATAACGTAACACCACTAGGTGTATATCCCTTCAATTTTGTGTTTAAAGGGACACTATAGTCACCATAACAACTACAGCTTATTGCATTTGTTCTGGTGAATATAATCATTAGTTTCAGGCTTTTTGCAGTAAACACTGTATTTTCAGAGAAAATTCAGTAATTACATTACAGCCTAGGGATGCCTCCACTGGCCACCCCTCATATGGCTAATATAGGGGCTTCATGGGCAGTGGTGCACAGTGTGCAGCACTGACATTCAGTGTTTCCACCTTCTGCATGGAGACACTGAACTTTCCTCATAGAGATGCATTGATTCAATGTATCTCTATGAGGAGATGCTGATTGGCCATGGCTGTGTTTGGCTCGTGCTGGCTCTGTTCCTGATCTGCCTCCACGACACTCTCAGTCAATCCAATGCTTTCCTATGTGAAAGCATTGTGATTTCCTCAGATCACCAATTCTGATGACAGCCAAGCAGGCAGATCAGGGGCAGTGTCATCAGCAGGAGTGGAATAATAGTATGATTTTACTATATTTAGGTGCATAAGGGGGGCTAGATGGAGTTTTTAACACTATTGGGTTTAGGAATACATGTTTGTGTTCCTGTCCCTTTAGTTTATAATATCTTATCTCTTGCTTTTATATTTGCCTGCTAATGTCTACAATAACCTTCTGTGTGTGATTAAAGTTTGTTTAACAGAGTAGGACATAAGAACTTTTACTGTAAACACACTGTGCTGTAAGAATTTCTGGATGTATTAGTTCAATTCTAGGCTTTTTTTCTGTAGAATCCTTAACTACAGCTCCCTGAAACCTAACTCATTAAATCAGGTACAGAGGCAACTGTGGTTTTAATAAAAGGGAAACGCTACATAATCTACAACGACTTCCCAGACAAGAGAGGACAACACTGTGGAATTTCCATGTTTATTAAACAACACACAAAAGCTTGAAAGGCAGAAAAAATGTAGAAAAAGTAAAAACAATAGAAAATGATCAGGTAATTTATCACAACCTAAATGAAAATATTTTCTATGAATACAAATATGTCATTGTTCCTGTGACTGAGGCATTAGCGGCAACTCTTACATCAGTTAACATGTAAACATTTATTACAATCTCCTTTGTCATGGTGGCAGTGAGCAATGTGTGTGCAAATGAAGTGCTTACCAGCTGTAGAGCAATTAAAACATTGGCTTTTATAGATAGTCAAGATAAAAATGTAAGCTGTGAATTTACAGTCCTGTATCCACACAAAATATTTTATTCAGGTGATCCATAAGTCTTATATTATCAGTCATTATTGGAAAAACCCAATATAGCAAACATTACAAAGGAAATTGAGCAACTGTGAGGGGGAATTCAACCATCCACATTCAAAAAAAGGTAACCTCCATTATTTTATTATGTTAAATGTGTGTTCAGGACTGCTTGATTTGTACTTTTTAATGTAGCCTGCACTTGAAATGTTTCCTTTACAAACTATCTACCTTAAAAGAACACCTCAGGGCCCTAAGCACTTAAGTTTACAAAAAGTGCAGGTTTCAATAGAAATTGGCACTTTTATAATTTAACCTTGTTAAACCCCCTGGCTGTCAATCAGACAACTGGTCCTGTTACTTACTGGTTGTTTAGCTCAGTGGAGCTAAACTCAAAAGGCAGCAATAGCACTTGGTATGCAAAGACTTCTCATTGAGCTGCATTGGGAAGTCTGTGATTGGACAGCCACAGATCATCTGTGCTGCAGAAGAAGGGGCGGGCTTGAAAGACTTCAGAAAAGAGATCTGCAGCTTTGCAAGCTGTTTTCAGAAATACACCCAATGTAAAAATCCATAATTAAATGCATGCATGCTGTCATTGGGGATATGCCTACTACTGAGTGATATAAAAATGTTTTATATAGGCAGATTGACAGCAACAAAGAAGTGGCTTAACATATTCATGTTTGTGTGCTCTCCCATACAAATGTATAGAAGCAACACGTATCATATGTCTGAGGTATATAATATGCATGCAATATGTGTATACTCTACAATTCATTGCTTTACTATGGGTAAGCGCAGTAAGTGCACCGACTTAAATGCAAGAATTACCAGGGCTCCCATATATGCAAATATACTCATTTTCTTCTTTCATTCTAGAAAAACTAAGCAATCCCCAGCATACATATTAAGCAAAGGTACATAATATTGCCTTAAGCTTTAATATACATGGAAGTTTTCCAGGGACTGAAGTGGCCCTTTACTTATCATCGATTATTCCCTCCAGTACAGTGATTCGCAATCGCAGCAACCGATCAAGGGGTCCTGTGCACTAGAATTATCACTCAATCTAGTACATTTCAATTCTAGTACATATTTTTGATTATTTTGCAAAATTGATGCTTTAATAATAATTTAAAAAATGACACCCGAAAGAGCTCAAAAAAATGCACAGGAATGGAGGTAGTATGGTTGTCCTGTATTGTCTATTACATTCTTTTATAAAATCATGGATTCAGGAAGGTGGGCGACTAGATATCCTGCAGCATTCTAATGGTTAAATCACGCTTCACAGCATAGATGTAAGATTGCAGTTTCTGCACTTGTGTAAAATGTAGCTCAATGTAGCTCATGACCCTTAAGTTATACATGTATGCATAGGATCAAAAAACCTGATTTTGTAACTTTGTTTGCAATCTTGCCTCCAACATGTACAAAATTCCTATTATTTAAGCTGTGCGAGTATGACAAGTGCCATACAGAGTAACCATCATCTTTGTCCAAGATTTATGGACATTTACTGTAAAATGTGTAACTGATCACCATGCTAATTATTCTACATAAAAGATACGGTATTCCAGAATACCCAGTATGTCATGTTAATCAGCATAACTGCATATATAAAAACAAAACAAAAAAACCTATCACAAAGTTTTAAAAAAGCCACCTATTCACAGAAAGGCATATGGAAGTCACAGTATGCGATTGTCCCTCTTGATTTACCTCTGCGGAAAGTGGCTATGACGAGCCATACAAGATAGACTTTAAGTTCAGAGAGGTCCAGAGAAAATATGTTTTGTGATACAGTGTGAGTTCCTGTAATTGAAGAGATAAGATACGGTCTCATATGAAATATTGGGTAAATGACCACTGTTGCTGATTATCAACTGTGCTCTTCTGTGCCATTTCTATTCTTCGGCAGCAGCAGCACCTTTCGTTGGCTCCTCACTAGTTTCCTCTATCTGTCCATCAACTGCATCTTCCAACTGCTCCGTAGCCTGCAATGCAGGATCCTGTTCTAATGCAGAATTGGTATTGCCCTCTACCTCACGAAGACTGCCAATTACAAAAGCAAATGAGCAAAAAGTCCATCAAAACCATTATACCATTATAATAATTATTATGTTAAACCAAGTTGCATGCCACATTTCACCTTACCTTAGATTGATTCGAATTATACCATTTAGAAGGTTGAGATGCTGCAACAATGTATCAACCCCGGGAGGAACAATCTACATAGAGGAAGACATATTATTAGCACCTTTTTTTTTTTTTGGCACTCACATAATACAGCAACTTAATTCAGGTCTGCAGAACCAAAGAATATATACTAAGTTTTCCTATAGCACACAAAAAAAAATTATATTATGTATTGAAAAGAAAACAGGCACAGTATAACTACTGTAAATAATTCTATATCATATTTCTTTTAAATGTTGTTGTTTTTTTGTTTTGTTTTTTAAATGATTTGGATTACCTGGACATGAGATAATGAGGCAAGGGATCCATTCTTGTAGATCTCATTCATTGTTCTCTGCAGATTTACTGCTTGTTGTGTGACATGTTTCAGGAATGTGGAGCTCTCCTTTGTACGTTCGTGGGAATCACCAAGCTAACATGGGAATACAGAATGTTAAAGGCTTATTACTGCAACCCTTTTTGAGATATATATATATGTATATATATATATACATATTTGTTTTAAGGTAATATGCCTTAATGGTCACTATTTATTAGACCCCCTCAGATATAGTAATTTAGCTCCCAGTGATGCCTTCCACGCCTCTTCTGACATCACCAAGAGCCCCACACTGTCCAATCAAAGGCTTTTCATAGAGAATGATTTGATTGGACAGTTTTGCCGGCTCCCGGAGGGAGTGCGTGAGAAGGAAATTAAAAAAAACCTACGGAGGGAGGTGGGATGGAAGAGCAAGCTGCCTGAGTTTGGCAGATGTCATTTTTGCACATAATTGATATTAGGCAACCTGGAACAGTGCTCCTGGCTGCCTATGTCACGTTTGCAGGGGTGTAACTATCCCCGGCACAAAAGTGATGACATTTCTGTATGTGCAGCATTTCAAGCTGTAATACTGACATCTAGACTTCTATCACCATGACCACTGAAGTGGTCATACTGATTGGAGTAACCCTTTAAGTCTAGCACTTGTGTAGATACTGAAATGATTGGCATGTGACTTTCTTAAACCTAAACTCCTGACACTGTAAGATATCATGACTGCTTAGGGGTAGGGTAAGCAGAGGCAGACCTATTGACCTATTATGTAATGGTAGTAATGGTAACATTAGACATCTTACAGGGTTACAGGCTCTTTGACTTCCAAATTGTTTAATGTTTCAAAGCAAAGATTTACTAGTTTCTGTGCTGCTGAAGAGATGGAATATAAACATGTACATAAAATATATTTTTTAGTAACTGATATGGAACCATCTCAATTTCCAGATGTTCTTGGAACTTTTCAATCTAGGATCCACAATAGAATTTTTCCAAAAATAAAGGTGGCCAATAAAGTTACTCACCAGTAATTTGTATATTGTATAGGTTTCTTTTTCATGTTGCATTGCTGTTCTGAATTCTGCTTTAGTTGTGTGAACCAGGGCTATCAAGTGATGGCTACAAGGGGTCAAACAGTCAGTAGTTAGGTGATACCCATGTAACAAGATCATTTAGGCTGCAAGCAAGTGGTAACAGAAACAGCTGCAACATGCATGGATATAGAACTAACAAATGGTAATAACAGAGACACACACACATATATAAATATATATATATCTAGATTTATACATGATCCCAAAGCCCTCTAAATGGAACTCCAATAGGGCAAACTGCAGACATCATGGGACAAGTATACAATGGTGTCATTCAGATATTACAATCCAGTGAAAGGAAGAAAAAAATAATAAACACAGATTTTAAAGAGGAAGAGTATAATCATTAATATACAGAGGGCATAAGGACAGGAAAACTAAATGAATAAAAATGACTGTACCTTTTTATGTTAGTAAGTAGTTTTTGTTTTGTGCATTTAAAGTGAGAGTACATCATTTGGGTAGCTCTATGGTAGCACTGTGTAACACTTCACTTTTAAAGCCAAAAATCAGCATACACTTTATTTCAGTTTCACAAAATAAACATAGGAGGTTTGTTTTAATAGTTGCATCTTTTTATTCACTTATTTGCACCATGATATTCCTTACTGTGCCACTCTCTCACTTCGATTTTCTATTTTGTTTCTTTTTTGGATTATTAATTTGTCGCTTCCAATGTATAAAAATAGGTACAAAGATGCACCTTTTCCTTCCAAACATTTTGGACAAGTAAGCATTACTCACTTATCTTATTTTGTGAATGTATTTAATCATTGATAAAACCATCAGCAACAAATAAGCAAAATATCTAAACAGGAATAAAAAGTGGTGAAAAGACGGATTATTTTGTTGCATTACGGAAAAAGTGGGAAAAAAAGAACCAAAATGGAGAATAAAGTGACAAAAGAGGCGCAGTAAGGAATATTTTGTCACAAATAAGGAAATAAATAGGCACATGAAGGAAAAGTTCAAGAAAACCAGCCTAAAGTGAACACACAGCTTTTTTATAATATATAATGCCCTAAGTTTCCAGGTCACCGCAATTCACTGTTTAGTTAATAATTCCTACATTTTTATCACTTGTTGCTACAATAAGTGGTGATTAAAGGGACTCTACTGGCACCCAGACCACTTCAGCTGGCATACAGCTTGGGAACCGCTGCCTTTCACTATATAATTCCTTTACATCAAAGATATTGAAAGTTATAAATTCTCCAGCTGTTAATCATTTCTTTATTATAATAAAATATTTAAACAGTATATTTTAAGCTAGGATATAATTGAAAACAGACTAGCCTGGTGTTGGTAAAAGTAGAAAAAAAACATACAATGCAATGTAGTTGAATGATTTCAATGCCTCCCCTGCACTAATTACAGTTCCTGTTGCTAGCTTAAATATATTGTAAAAAATATATTTCATATACGGTATGTTTCAGTATTTAGAAAATTGCTCCAGTCATATTTGTTTAAACAATGCTGCATAAAGGTAATAGATCCAATTAAATTACCTGCTGGTTTTATTCAAATAAAACACAGGGTTGGATATCAGTATAAATAATTACTTTGAAGCTTTCATTATTGTTGATGTTTGCACACTGACTAGTATGGAAAGCTTATACTGGGATTGCAGAACCTGCATCTAGTTGATCATAATTCTATAAGAATCCAAGGCCAAGTCTCCTCAACAACCAATAGACAGATACATAGGAACTAAACCCATATCATTATTAATATAAACATGTATCCCTGATCCTATAGTGTTAAAACCACCATCTAGCCCCCCAGGGCTCCTCATGCCTCCATAAATATAGCAAAATCTTACTGTATTCAAGCTTGAAGCTGTAGATCTGCATGCTGTTTGTCTCAGAAAAAAATAAGCTGTCTGATGACATCATCAGAAGTGGTAGCCTGTTCCAATCACAATGCTTCTCCAAAGGATTGGCTGAGACTGACAAAGAGGAAGAACAGGGGCAGAGCCAGCATGATTCAAACACAGCCCTGGCCAATCAGCATCTCCTCATAGAGATGAATTGAATCAATGAATCTCTATGAGGAAAGTTCAGTGTCTGCATGCTGAGGGAGGAGATACTGAATGTTTGGATGCATTTTAGGCAGCCATGACCCAGGAAGGGTCTCTAACAGCTATCTGAGGAGTGGCCAGTGAAGTTATCACTAGGCTGTAATGTAAACACTGCATTTTCTCTGAAAAGACAGTGTTTACAGCAAAAAGCCTGAAGGTGACCAGAAGAAATTCAATAAGCTGTAGTTGTTCTGGTGACTATAGTGTCCCTTTAAGACTTAAGTGGGTACCTTCAACAATAATATAAAAAATACACGTGCAAATAGAGACAGCAATGACTACGTTTGCATATGTGCTGTGATTTTAAAAGTGATGCAAAGTTGTAAAAGTAAGGCAATTACCGTGGTGATTACTCTTTTACAGCTTTGATACACTCCCCCGTTGTTCTTGGAATTATACCAAACCACTAATTTTAATATGCTCTTAATAAATTGGGTTAAAATGTTTAAGAAGATAGAATTTAATATCTGAAAATAAAAAGAAAAGCATTGCTGGAAAAAAAAAATTTCAAAGTAGGTAATTTTTTCTTCTCAGTTTATTCCTGTCATTCTAGTTTCTAAGTTTTGTATGTTTCGACAAAGGCTTTTATGATTATGTTCGAGGAAAGAAATATGACCTAGTGTAATGTAGCCATTTTTGAACAAATGTTTCACATTCTGGTGCCAAATAATGTTCCTATTCAACAGGCACAAAAAGAATTCACTAAAAATGTGCACCATAAAATGAATAAAATAATTGGTCACAGAGTGTTTGCTGTTTCCTGTGCAAATACTAATGGCATACTTTGAGATTAACAGTGAAAAAAGGTTTACACAAGAAATGCTGAGATTATGCACTGGGGAATAAGAAAATAAAAACCTCATCTTGATTTTGTTACATCTTTACACAATCATCCTTGTTCTGTCACTGTCAACAGCTTTAATGCTACTGAGATCTATAATTGGCTATCGAGCACAAAATGATGAACCTCAAAGGATGAAGTCTTGAATTTATAAGTTAATGCATTAGCCACTAACCATCTTGACATTTGTAACCATGGCTAATTGGCTAGTTTGATAGCATGTCAAAACCATCTGAGGCCAATGACCTTCAAAAAACATGGCCTTATTAAACTTTCTTTCATTGAACCACACTGTAACAATTTCCAGTCCCCTAGGTAGGTATTTACTTGTCACGATTTCTAACAGTGATTTAAATACAGATCAAACTTTGGACTGAGCATCTTTATTTCTGTGTTATACTTCATCTCAAGTAAGTGGTCTGGGTGTCATGTCGCTGTAGTTTTAACCCTGCGAGTGAAAACATTAGCATTTTGCAGGAACGTCAATGTTTACAATGTTTACATTGCAGGGTTTAAATGCCTCGAGTGGCTTTCGCTCTTCCACCAAAATAGCCAAGTGATACTCAATTTATTTTAAGCAGATGGTCTCAGAACGACTATTGCAGTGTATGCGCACGTGTCTCCCAATGCTTTCCAAAGGGAAATCATTTGATTGGGTGAGATCACCATGATTTATGATCTAGACGACTGCATACAGAGTGGGAGAAACAGCCATACTGACACTTACAGGGGGTCACCTAAACAGTAAGTAGGACGCTACACCGTTAGGAATACACATTTTTAATCTTTGGTGTTCCTTTAAGTTTTTCCAATGCCTCGTGTAAATAAGGTTACACTACACTGGAAATGTGCAAGTGTATGAGAAATAGTAGATATATATATATACATACATATATGATGATTACCTTAGGGCAACATCCAGTGATTTGCTTCCATAATACTTCTTGTTGATGGCCAAAGCGTTCTCAAGAAATCTCAATGATAAGTCACACTCGAGGACAGCTTGAAGAACTATGCCAATATTGCTCTGCCAGGAAAAGAATGGAAAATGTAGAATATTACATATTCTGTGTTCCTATTCATAGTCATATTAGGTTTGGATGTCCAATAGGCAGTGAAATATGCCTGACATGGGACGTGTGTTAATGCTGAGATCCTTGTAACGTGTCACGATTTAATCTATCTTTATCGATACAACTGTTTCATGAATTGGTTTATTATTTCAAACTAGTCATAGTAAACATTTTCATAATTCTTAAAAAAATTGGTTCAACAGGTATTTGTGTGTAAAGATATATTTAGAAAGGGAGATGTCTGAATAAACTGAATATTGAATATATTTCCAATATGTACAGTAAATGGGGCTACCTGGTTTGTCTTAGTAAAGATCCAATTGGATAGATATCACAAAGATTTCCTGTTAAAAAAGATATTTTATGAAGCACAGTTTTGCCCTAGGGAAAAGTAGTAAATCTAATTAAGCTTCTTACTGGTGTGTTTTATCAATTTGCTTTCAATCAGCTTTACTATTTGACCACAATATGGTAATTTTTAATTTATTGCAATGGTTTCAAAGGAACACTCCAATAATTATAACCTGTACAGCCCACAGGCACTGTTTTGGAACCAGGAGTGTCCCAACGCCTTACCACAGTAAGTAATCAAACAGTTTTAAAAATGATGACAATTTACCTGAGATCTGTCTGGCACCCACCTGTTTTTGAGCCAGAAGCTCCTGTTAAGGAGTTTCCTTTAGCAGCACTGAGCTGAGCCTTGCAGGGCTGGCTCACTGAGAGAGATTCAGAACACACCATGTTTAACTGGTTTGACTTACTATGGGAGGGCACCAGAGCACTCCTGGCACCATAACAACTACAACAGACTGATGCTTGACATGCTCTTATAAAACCATTACAATGAATACAAATTAATAAATTGTAGTCTGATAGTGTAAACTGACATGCAGATTTGAAGGCAAAATGTAATGTTTGCGTTTCCATTAACTAAAAGCTGATTTATGTATGCCTGTTGTTTAACCCATACTAATGTCCTGCCCAAATTTAATTCATTAATGTCAGTAAAATTCTGATAAAAAGCAATAGTTAATTTAGTGAACAGAATCTAAATTGCCTGTTCTTATTATACTTAATTGGCATTATTACTGCAATGAGTCTCAGGTTTAAAACAATAAATTAAGTATATCCTGGCTTTCAGAAGTGATTAACTTACATCTAATGTAGCCATGGTCGGGTGATCTTCTCCTGCTATTAACAGCATCAAGTAGCGAGCACGGTACAATAGTTTCAAAGCGACTGGCAGCTGTCCACTGGCAAAGCAGTACAGGGAAAGGAGGACCTAATGAACCAAAATATTAGTTAGATTGCCTAGCAAAGACAAAACCAACAGGAACAATCCTTTAAAAGTTTATACTTGTTCAGAGAAATTTCCAATTTTATAGTGGGTTTTTATGAATTAACTATACTCACAAACAGAGTAGGTTTGAGTCTGTAAACATAGAGTATAAAAAAGGTACCTGTAAAGCTTTAAAAGTCGCAATTTATTCATATTCTGTTTGTTGTTTTTTTTTTTGTTTTTTTTTTAAAGAAATACTACAATCTATATACAGGTAACTTTTTTTCTTTAGTTTTTTTCGAAACATGCCATTAAATATGAATAACAACTAGGTAGCTAGAACCCAGAAGAAAATATGCATATAATTAGTTTTGTATGTTGTCTTTGGGGAATTTCTGAAGTCCTGGCTTGCAATAGCTGCAGATCTAGTACGTGCAGAAACTCTTAGCCCCCTCCTTCTTCAGGACAGACTTTTTGTTTGCCGTCCAATTAAGGTGTTCTCAATGACTTGTATTACAGTTCATTGTGAAGTATTTGCAAGGCAGCTGCTCTGGGTAATTGCCTGCCCCTTGCATTCAGTTTCATTGAATTAAACTACAAGCAAGCAACAGGACTAGCTGAGATGTAAAAAGGGTCAAGAGGGTATGGTAGAAATGACTGATGTATATAATGCCTTATTCTCTTATTCCACATTCGGTTTCTCCTACAACTTGCTGTTGGTGAAGGTTACAAATGCGTGCTGTGTGTAATATGTCTTTTTGTTTTTCGTGTTGCAATGAGATGTGCACATGGGAACACACCTATTGCAGCAATGACTTTGACTGTCTTAGCATATTCATTATTTATGGTAAGTTTATATAAATGTTTACCTTCAGTTTCTATTGCTATGATTTATCTGTCCTGATTATACATAAATTTTCTCAGATTTGCACTGTGAGTCAATTGCTAGTCAAAGTTCGCTTTTTGGTTTTTCATTTAAAAAGTGTTTTTACAGTCATTTTGTGTCAGTCCCTGTTGGTGTGATGAAGAACGGTAATCCATGACCGATTAGATGGCATTGTCTCTGATCTCCCACGTCTATTCAAAATCTGGCTGAAGAATCTCTCAAATATGGCATCTAACCTGCTTAGGGTGGCTGCCGACCACATCAAAAGCAAAAAGAAGGCCTCAAGTGCCACCATCGCATCTGCAATGTGGTACAAGGTAGGTATCCAGAGCAATAAATTAATTCTGGGACTAGGACTAGGACTTTAGTAGGAAAACCCACCATTTAAAACAAATTTAGAAACTCTGCTGAGGAGTATGGCACTATGGTACGTCTCATGGTGGTCAAACCTCATCCGCCGATTTAGAATTTTACTGATTTTGTGATATGTTATTATACCTGCTATCTCTGCAGGCACAACTAGCATACGCTGATGGGGCACTGTTTTTTCCACACTAAAGGATGGTCACTCATGTGTCAGACTCAATGAGTGGCCATCCTTGTGTTTTGTTACTCTGTGGATTGAACAGGTAAGTGGGCGGTCGTAACCCATTACATATGTTTACTGAAATAATACTAGTTAAAATGACTGCACTGCATTAAAAATTATTGGTAAAGACAGGCGTTAGATTAAAACAGAGCAAACTGTAATAATGTCAGTTAATCACAGAATCACAAAGAAATAGGACAAACTGTAGCCCACTACCCTTAGTATAGTTCCACTTACTGTCCAGTCTGTTAAACTTATTGTATATGACAAATGAACAATATCCAACAGTATTTACTTACATAATCCTGAACAGTGTTGGAGTTGTCATATCCCAAAGTCCTCTCTATCATTATCACAGCTTTTTGCTGGTTATCTAGAGCCTGGTAATCAAAAAGTAATTTGCATGTCAGACATGATTTGATGAAACATTCTCATTCTGTGTAATGGATTTTCAAAGCATACTTATTGAGTTTTTAAAAGCCTATACATTATTATACATTAATATATATGTGTATAAAGAAATAAAAAAAAAAAAAAAACAGCACTCCCAGGTAGCTTTCTTAGGAACTTCTTTTACTAAAAAGGTTAAATAGTCAACGTTTCAGTTCCATTCAGGAACTGTCATCGTTTTAAATTTTTTATTTTTTCTATATATGTATATATATATTATGTATAAAATATTATATAGGTGTCTTCCAAATCCTGTCCACGCTGTGTCCTTGATTTACTATATAATTTCAAATATTAGCTTGGATACGATTACAGTGACTGTATCATTTAACATTCACGTGTCTACACAATAAAAAATATACTAAACAAACAAGCACAATTGCAGCATGTAATGGATGCAGTAAAGACATACAATAAACATAGCAATGTTTATAACATTAAACAACTTAAATATATAAAATTAAAAAAAAACACAAATTCAGAGTTCAGTTTGCTTCAGTGTTAATATTATTTAGCATTTTTTGTTATAAGTCTAAATCTGAACAGTGAGGCAATTTCCCCCCATACTCCATAACCTATTAGTATGCATCCATATGAAATGCATGAACATTTTCATGGCACACCTACTCTTGGTAAGCAGGGTTCTCACCTCAGCAATATCACCCAGTATGAACTTAATTCTGGCAAGCAGACGCAAGCATAATGCAATCTCTGGATGCACAGCCCCATACACACTGTTAAACTGCACCAGTGCCTCATTCAGTAAGACCACGCCTTCTTTTAGACCACCTGTAAGGAATACATGGATGTTACTTTGTTGACAGAATAAAAACCTCAGTGGTCATAATTGCCCAAGACTGAGTTGTGGTGCCTATGATGTTCTGAGTCTAAGGCCCCACAGAAATTTTTCTTTTTGAATGGAATCTAGGGAACAGTCATGAACACATAATGTAAATCTGCAATGCAGAAAGTGATTATAAAGTTTTGTTTGTATTTTTTATGTAAATGTGATGCTTTGCTTTTTTGTTTATGTTTTCTACAATATAGATAACATTTAAGTCAGATAAAGTTAGATTTAATAAAAAAAAAGTCTTGATAAAGTCTTGAGAGGAGACAAACATGTAGACGCTCTGGTTCTGTTTTTACAGATTCCAGACATTTGACACTGCTCCTTTAAGGTGACCACGGCCTTTCTTTAAGTTACTGGCCGCGGCTCACCATGCTACTCCAGCTTTGTGTGCTCCTCTGCTCCAGGTTTGTGCAGCTGCGTGGCGTGTTGTCCTATACTGGACTCCTTACTACATTAGTGCACTGTTACTGAAGCTAAGGGTAAGGGTTGAGCTCGCTGGATACTTTACCATTGGGAAAATCTCTACACGTCATCAATCTAGGCTACAGCATCATTTTGGACATGTGGAAGGGCCCCCCACGGATAAGTACAGATTTTTGCCACTGACTATATTTTTTTTAAATCATTTTTCTGCAGGTTCAGGTGTCTTCTTTTAGCTGTGTTATATTCCTGTATTACACTGTTTTTAGGTTTTATGCACACTGTGTTCCTTCACTGTTTAGGTAATACTACCCCATTGTGGGTGAGAGTTACAGTTTAGAGCAATTGTCTCAGTGGTTTGTTACACTCTGACAGTTTTATTAGACATTTGTTACATCTTTATTGCAGTTGTTTTTTCACGGCATTGCAATTAGAGATGTTCCTTTGATTGCCTGTATTACCGATACAGCATTTTATTGATCCTTTTAAGGCCGAGTTGTCTCTTGTCTGTGTTTTTTTTCTTGTATTTAAACATTACAATATTGTTGTGTTTAATATGATCACTGTGTATCTATAGGAGCGCTCACACTAACCTATATTTAGATTTCTTAATGAACAAAAAGCAAACAAAACAAAATACTAGTAAACATATTTGCCAATGCACAGTATCTAACCTCAAATTTGCAAAGGCATCTCCTAGGTCTGACCTATTCAATATGTAAAACGACTGGTAACTTTTATCTCCTACTCGTTCCATCTGTACACTGACTTTTATCTTAAAGGACCACTATAGTGCTAGGAAAACATACTCGTTTTCCTGGCACTATAGTGCCCTGAGGGTGCCCCCACCCTCAGGGTTCCCCTCCCGCCGGGCTGGTTGGCGAGGAAAGGGTTAAAACTTACCTTTTTTCCAGCGCCGGGCGGGGAGCTCTCCTCCTCCTCTCCGCCTCTTCTCCTCCCCTTAGGCTGAATGCGCATGCGCGGCAGGAGCTGCATGCGCATTCAGCCAGTCTCATAGGAAAGCATTCATAATGCTTTCCTATGGACGCTTGCGTCTTCTCACTGTGATTTTCACAGTGAGAAGCACGTAAACGCCTCTAGCGGCTGTCAATGAGACAGCCACTAGAGGATTTGGAGGCTGGATTAACCCTAATATAAACATAGCAGTTTTCTGAAACTGCTATGTTTATAAAAAAAGGGGTTAATCCTAGAGGGACCATTAAGCTGAAGTGGTCTGGGTGCCTAGAGTGGTCCTTTAAAGCTCATACCTATTGCGCCTGTACTATTAATAGTATCTCATAGTTCCTAATTGTTGCATTTGTTCATTGACTGGTATCTTGTAGCGCCTACCTGTTCCATCAGTACAATGACTGATTCCTCTTACTTTCTGACTATTCTTACTACATATGCATGGTGACTCCTACCTTGCTGGATGGTGATTTGGGCTTTACTGAGCAGTTCATTTGCAACTTTGGCTTTGATGTTTATGTGTTTGACAACTGGAAACATATTTAGAATGTCTTCCTCTGTCAGAGCTGGTTTATGGCGACTTTCAAAGTTATATTCACGCAGCAAAATCTGAGGAGAAAAAAATGAAAAGAACATTTTATCACGTTACTGCAGTAACATTTTGTGAAATGTGCTGATGGATGATAACATGCAGTGAAATCTGTGACTGGGCCCTATGCTATTCTATGTGGTATATTGAGATATTACACACTTTCGTGCCAAGATTTTCAGACTTAAGCTCTTCTGCTGCACTAGATGTTTTGGCCAGCTGACATGTAGTCCCTGAGTTTGATATAGAAGACTTACAGCTTTACAAACGTTCTATATACTAAATATACAACTGAACTCTATTTACATATTATTTCTTCTCATTAACATATCTTAATCTGCTGACATCAACTGATAGGTTCATAAGAACAAGTGAGAAGGAGGATGTCGAATTCTGGTTAAAGGAATAATTATAAGTATCTTCAGCATGAAGAAATAAAGGCTGAGTCTGATTATTTTTAAAACTTATTTACTATGAGATAAAATATGCTATTTGTTCACGTAAAATATGGTGACGTAAATGCAGGTTTCTCTTCTGTTTACCATGTCCTCTCCACCTGTGTGTTCTAAGACTTTCAATACATGATTATTTAACTACATTACTTCTTTGATGCTTCTTTCGTTCTATATTGGCGTGTGTGAAGCACACCTTTTGGCTTCTTACTATAATACACAGGTAATTGGCTTATAAAAAGCAGTACCAACACAAAAGCTGAATATGAAAGCAATAAAAAGGTTAAAATATATTCAAAGGACCAATTCCTTTACAGATATTCCTGTACTAGGGGTTTGCCTCTAGTTCTTGAAGTTAGATTAATACTACAACCAGGTACCAATTGTATATCAGAATGCAAATACATTTTAAATACAGAGATGTTCAGGAAACAAAGATTGCAAACCAGATTTCATCACTTTAAGTACATGAAATAAGTATCATAAATGAGGAATGTCTGTAAATATAATTAGGGACACGGCAAGGCATTCGATGCTGATTACCTTCTAGTTTATTGGGAAATTACCTCAAATTATATATACATGTGCTTAATCTTAGTATTACTAAAATCCACAATGTAATGTGTGCTACTACACTATACACTCATACACACACTAAAATTCCTGAGGGACCACAGAGTAGGAAAGTAGGGTGTAAGATAGAGTCTTTGTGTATTCCAGAGTAGGTACCTATGGGATGTATAAGATATCTGGCACGCTAGATCATGAAATATGTAGCAAGTTCGATAGTAATCAAGGCCTTTTCTACCCCCATGAACAGCAACGTAGTACAAAACTAAGAAGAGAGAAAGTGCTATTCTCAGGGTTCTGTATTTTGCACTATGTAGTGTTATTTTGATAATTATTCTCTGATTGCATTTTTAATTAATTCTTTCTGTTTATATTTCACAGATTAGCAACTTCACTCAGCTCTTTGCTTCACATAGCTTCCAATGTTCTTTGCTGACTACAGCACCAAGCTGATTTATAAGGATTATTAAATCTGTCAATCATGTATGTCTAACTCTTTATTGCTTTATTATTTTGTTGTTGTTTATTTCCCATGACTGGCCATTTTAGATATATTCTCCAAATATATTTTTTTCTCTTTAGACTTCTCATTACTTTTCATACTTATTTTCTGAACTTCCTGTAGGCCGTTCTAACGAAAAATGTATCTGCGGCAATTTTATCGTAGGTAAGGGAAATAAGATTTATCATCCTATTTTACCATGAGCAATATTCAGTTGTTTCAGTTTTGCCGTACTCATGAAGTTCAAAAATGCTGATATACAGAACGTAGGGTAAGGTGATGTAAGTAAAGAGAATCCATTTTGTGGATTCTGCATATTTTACCCTTAGCATTCCTGATTGTCAGGAAACTATTACTAAATGTCTCATACTGTTATACTTTTACAGTCTTATTATACTGAATACTCAACAAATGATAATTTTAAAAACAAGTATTTTTGATAAAACATTAGTTTTTTTGTGTTGAATGTGTAAGGTTTTTATTTTTTTTAGTTAAAAAAAAATAACAAAACATGCATTTCAGTTTATCATTATCAGTTTCCAAAGCCAAAATGAGCACATACTAATCATCCTACCTTATGTACAAATGTTCATTTTTTTTCCTCCACAAATGTAATTTAAGCTGAAACCTTTATTTTGAGTTGCAACCATCTCACACTTTGCACAGTTTCCCTCTGGTTTGTGTAACTTGAACACTTTTTTCATTCTCTACTCTAGCTTTCTTGATTTACGAAGCACCTTAAAGTTTACATTACCTGTATTCCGGTTTTCACACAGAATTCTCGTAGAAGAGACACCTTCTGCAGATGAAAGTTCTCGACAAGCTGATCTACAGAGTCACTGAAATACAGAGATGCAATAGTATATTAGAATAGTAAAAGTAGAACATCGCTAAGTAAAGGACAATGCCAATAAAGGGAAACTATTTCGATAAAGGACAATGTCAAATAAATAAATAACTATCAACACATCTTGAGTTAAGTCCCATTTGACTAAGAAGCTGTAGGAAGAAGAGGAAGTAATACAACGCCCCAGAATTGTTCAAGTTAACTAGCGCTAAAAAACTTTTAGTTTAGTTTGCATCAAACTTTGTAACCCTATTTACTAAAACATAATTAACATGCTTTTCTCAAATGAATACATAAAATGATAATTCTGACAATTATAATAATGTAACTACAGCCCAGTCCTAGTGGAGGAACCTTTTCAATCAGATGTGATGTTTTGTATTTCTTTATATGTAGATAGAGAATGGACTCATACCATGGCAGAGTGAAATCAAAGCTCTCTTTGGTCTTCTGAACAATTTGTTTCCAGAGATCTGCTGGAGTCATAGTGGTCCATGCTGTACTGTCTCCATTCTCAAGTGGACGAATCTTCCTCTTGCCCTTTCGTTTCCGGGACAGTAGCTCATCCGGAGGTAGGTGAGCCACAGGGTTAGGATATGAGCTCAAAAAGCAATTCAGGAAGTGACTAACAGCTGCTGATAAGGCTGACATTTCAACTCCCTGACCAAAAGAAAATTAAATGTTATTGTTACTGAGACAACAATAGGAAAATAAACTTGAAAAAACATATAAAATGGCCCTTATATATTCTCTACCTTTAACTCTCTCCGAAATACATCAAATTTCCTTTACAAAAACTTCAAAGAGTAACTTATATCTCCATAATCAATATTATCAAGGTTATTCAATAAAGTGCGAATTTAAAGTAAACTCAAAGTCAATTTTAAATTTAAGGTAAAAACAGCTAAACTGGGAAAAAAATCCTCAGCAAGCTGTGCTTTCAGTTTGCCTACTCTGTATATATATTTGAAATTCACTTATAACCTTGTATAACTAATATTATAAGTAATATTGTGAATTTCAAGGCAAAGTGTGCATGTTGTTGTAAAGGTACATGGACATAAATCAGTACAGATCTTCTGAAAACACCCAGATGTACATTTTTGAACCACCAGGCCATGCAGTGGGCTACTGCTCTGGCATTAGCAAAAGCTTTGATTTGACTCTTTAGAATGGATCATCTATTTTTAATAAAGCAATTCATGTTGCATAAACTTGCAAATACAGTTAGCACATTATGATTATTATTTTTTTAAGTACAGCAAACAGACACTTGTTGTTTATATATAAACATTTCTGGTGTATATGTGGAGTCACACACTCCTTACCTGAAGGTAGTTGCGTAAAATGAGTTTTGTTGAACGTGTAACTATCTCCATGATCACAATTCTCTGTATAGGAAATATATATATTATAATGTGTCACTGCATATTAAAAGAAAATGGACAAAATAACAGAAATACAGACTCAGTTGAGACAATCAAGCAAGGAAGCTAATCTGTCTCATCAACCATTCAAGCGTTCTAATGCAAGAACATAAAGCTTTATAACTCCAGTTCCTAACCTGTTACAAATACACATAGGACGAATAAATTAAAATGTATTATTTCATGTTGTTATTTGTTCTATTTTTAATTTTATATATTATAAAAAGAAAAAAACACCAACAGTCTCATGTATTTGGATGGAGTCAGCAGGAGAGATCTCAATAATACATGTGAGTTGCTGTATGTTTAGGCTACACAAACCAGAGTCATACTTACATAAATATAATCCAAGGGCTGACGATCATCCAGTTCAGCAATCGTTTCAGCAATTGTTCCTAGGTATCGGACATTTATCCCATGAGCATGAATAGCCTCCGTGAGTGTTTTGCCATCCATGGGAACAATAATATGATTCAAACAGCTTTTTATCTGATAGATAAACAACACAATATGTTTGTGATCAGTTGACATGTGATGCAGATTTAAAGGAACATATAGCAGAGAGATTCTGGGATACAAAGATAAAGGTCATAAATGTACTCATTTTTCCATCACCACGCTACCTTGTCAAAAATACAGCTCTATCACTAAAAAAATGATATCTGTCACAGAACTGTACTTGTATGGCCGAGTGTTTTTACTTATGCTGCCCAATAGAAGAAAGATGAGTACTTATACATTAGATATTAACACAATCTATACATTGGTATGTAGTTGATATACTGGTGCTTGGGTGATTAAGATTATTAATCAAAATGCATAAAATTATTGTTTTATGCAACTATACTAATGTTCTTATACTACAACAAGCTTTAGAAAACATTAACGCAGGACCCACTGTGTGAGAGAAATAGATGCCTGTCCCTTTTGCCCACCATAACTTTATAAAGTTCATCCTCAGGAACCAGCCATGACACTGATCTTAAAGATCATCTCATGATCACAGGGGGCTTTGTTGTTAGACCTTTCAAAACTGCAAACTCACTGTTTATCCACCTGTTTTTCTAAAACGGGACTGTTAAAGTCTGCCAGAGAACAGGATTTGAGAAACAACTGAGAAACGCTCCTGGCAGAGACAGGTCACCCCTAGTAACATCCTTGTGTACGTTTTTCTTCCTTGGCTGTCTGAGCAGAAATAGCTGGATCGCCTAAACTTTCTTTAACAATCTGTAAGGATGCTAACTTATACAGAGATAGCAATAGCATTTTACATCTGAACTGAATGCATTTGTTTTGGCCTTTATACAGGAAAAAGGAATATGAAAGGTATAGTATGGGATTCTACAGGCAACTTACAAAAGTAGGAATTTGCACAGTCAGGGTGAATGAAGCGGCTTCACCTAGTAAGCGTTTCTGCAACTGATTGGCTTGGTACTGGGATTCCGGAAATCGCAAAACTAGATCACAAAGATATATAAGTTACTGCCAACTTATGAGAAAAAATAGCTCACCGCTAAATGTAAATACGAGATGTGTGTTATTTACTTTTTAAAGGATTTTATAATTATTTATAATTTACATAAGCACCAACATTTTCTTCAGCATGTTACATTTTTACAACAGTATGTTATTTTTTTTTTTTTTTTTATTGAAATGTTTTTTTATCATTGTCAACATCAAAATACCACATCAGTATTTTACAGTATGTCATCAGCAGCGAATAAAATTCAGCAGTCCATGTTTTTGCTTTTTCAAAATGACATCAGCTCTCAATCCTTGACCTTTCCAGCTGTTAAATTATGTTTATGACATTCAGTAGGCCATGAACTGGCCTATATCTGTGGTAGCTGTAGTTCAACGTAAAGAGAGCTACAGATTGGTATTTTGTTACAGCTCTCATTACAAGGACCACTTACTGGACTTGTTATTGCACAGTAACAATGGCTAACCTTTGGCACTCCAGCTGTTGTGTACCAAGCTTCTGATGATGCTGTGCTGTCTGAATGACGGAATATACATTATGGGAAACAACTGAGTTACCAAAGATTAACTAACACAGCTATAGACATTATAAATAACACCCTTTGGCTACAATTCGGGTTGCCACCAGGCCGGTGTTTTACCGGCACAGCCGGTATTTGATGCACTGTGACCAGTGGCGTACACACAATCCATGGGGCCCCGATGCAAAACTGATCCGTGGAATCCATCTGTTATAAATGGTATGTACACACATTGCTATATACCAGGCATAGACAACCTTTGGACCTCCAGATGTTTTGGACTACACCTTCCATGATTCTTTGCCAGCATTATAGGTGTAAGAGCATTATGGGGAATGTAGTCCATAACATCTGGAGTGCCAAAGGTTGCCCATCCCTGCTTATATACTATATACGCACACAATAACATACACAGACATTGTAGACACACATTTAAAGTATACAGACAATGACACATGCTCAGACAACAGTATGATCACACTGTTATACACATTTAGACAACAACACACTACTACACACACACTCATACAGACAGTCCATACACACACTGCTTCACATTTACATGCTATACACACAGTCAAAGTACAAACATTGTAAAATGGCCAGTATTTGTTTCCTAAAAAAGGTGGTACCCCTAGCTACAATAAAAGGGTATTATATAACAGAAGACTTGCAATAAATGTGTTTTTTGCAATTACAATTCTAAAGATACTTACCAGATGAGTAGACATCCGAATTAAAACGCATATCAAAAACGTAATCCAAGACGGAACCGACTTCTCGACATGCTTCTCTTATAACATCCACTCCCTGCTGTTCATCTGAGGAGGCAAAAAATTGAGAAAATAAAGAATTTTTTTTTTTTTTTTTTATGTTAGAATTGTAACATACTAGCACATATAACCTAGATGTTTATGAACTACATTCCCCATGATGCTTGGCCGGTCTAAAGGCTGTCTGAGCACCATGGGAAATATAGCTCACAAAAACTTGTGGTAAGGTTTGCCTACATTGGACTCACACAAACAAACCAAAAACATATACAATTAAAGATTTGCTGAAGTACAAATAGCACTATATAGCTACATTAAAGATTTCTATTACACAATATACATTTCTATATTTCATAAAAAAACATGTATGCCATAATATGTTTGTTACCACTGGAAATAGTTTGAAAAGAGGTCCCTGTTTTTTCATTATGCACAATATATTTTAAGTAACTTGTCTAATTCCAATGTGGATTATTGTAAGTAAGGAGGTTGAGAAATTCCTGTTGATGTCATAAGGAACAAGTGAAAACATTTGTCCCACTGATACTTAAAGGCTCCCAAATCCTGTGTACAAATTGTGATCTAGTGGGAAATAAATCAATACTGGTGTTCCTTATCAGAACATAAAATTAGTACATATATATGAGAATGTGGGTTTGGTATAGGGTGTGTGAAGGCCCATGTATACCCTAATACAAGGCATGACAATGCTCATTTCTCCAAGTAAATAGAAATTGCATTTTGTTCACCTAGATATTCACATGATTCAACAGGGTTCTCTGTGGTGTGCCCTCATTCAGTGATGTGCCACCATCTTGCATGTGCAAGAAGAGTGACAAATTGGGTGACAGCAGCGTGTGAGAGGGAGTAGAGAACACAGGTTATATTATATATAAATACTGATATACCACATACCACATTTATGTCGATATCTGCAGCAGTCTAAGGGATTATAATGCATGACTGCTGGTGCTAGCTCTGCCTCTGAACTGCCTCCTTGGCTGACATTATCAGAAGTGATATTCTCAGTCATTCACAATGCTTTTACATAGGAAAGCATTGGATTGACTGAGATCATCAATTCTAATGATCTCAGCCGGGCAGGCGTGTTGGGTGACTGAGCCAGCACAAGCAGACTGGAATAAAGGTAAGATTTTATTATATTAGGGGGGCATGGTAGCTAGATACTGCTTTTACCACTATAGGGTCAGGAATACATGTTTGTACATTAAGCTGTAGTTGTTCTGGTGACTATAGTGTCCCTTTAAGAAGAAGGAGTTGCATTTATAATCAGCCTGTCGTGACAAGTTCACTTTAAATAAATTACCTCATGTACTTTTCCCTCTCCTAAAGAAATAGAGTTCTCCAATTGACACAGATTGAAAAAAAAAAGTTAAAACAAAAAATATAGTTAATTCTTTGCAAAATTCCCATACGTACATGCTTATAAAGGATCTTACCATCATTGGCGGCATCTTCATTTACCTTCGAGCCTGCACTCTTTGTCTTGTCCATAACAATTTTCATAAACTGTGCATATCTGTGATTTTAAAACATTAGAGAAAGATGCAATTTAAATTAGTATAGGGAAAAAAAACTATCCGAGTTTGTTTGCAGTAATCAGAATATGAGTTCTACTGGACCATATCTTGACAAAAGGGGGTTTACATTATATAGTTATTAAAATAAATTTTTTGGGGGAAACGGTTGCTCTTGATGAAAAGAACCAATTGTAAAGGTGGATTGATAACTCATGGGGGCCTATAAAAGATCAGAAGACCCATATACACATTAAATACCTTCTTTACATTTTTACATATTGTTTTTATAATACTTTAAGTGTACTAAGCTATGATTGTTTTCACTTTTTCTTTTATCCATATGCATTTTTGATATTAAACCCGTCATAAAGCAATCTCTTGGGTGCTGCAGCCAATTCCACATCAAAATATAAGTAAAGGACAGTTACAATAATACACTAACTATAGCACAACCCACTCTTTTCCTAGTCCAACTGTCTATGTACATTTAGCAGCAACACAACTCAAAAGCGAGCATACAAAATTGTCTGTTATTTCCACTGTTTTGATAATCCTTCTCTGTAATATGTTTCAAAGTGAGGGACTTACTTGTGTTGAATAAAGAATTCAATCAGTTCTGGGCGTAAACTGCATAGCTGGTGGCGATATGGCTTAGGAAACCTATGGCTGCATTTCCTTGGTGTGTCTCCTTCATACAGAGGATGGAAATTAACATCAGGAGGGAAGGTTCGTAGGAGATCTAGAATGTAATGCCTTCCATCATTTCCCACAATCCCCTTGCACTCGACAGATGAGCAAAGCATTACTTCTTCATCCTTCTCATCCAGTACCATGTGTCTCATAATTTTGAGTGGTTTACTTGATTTCTGGAGTAAAGTGAGATATTTTAAACTGGTTGAAACCGTTTTGCCAAAATCAATTGATCCATAAACTACACTTTGGTCTTCTTTACGGTCTAGAATCCCTGGTATGATTGACTGAGCAGTTACACGGTAGCCTCTGTAGTCCAGAACCACGGTTCCTAAAACATACAGTTCCTCAATGTCTAAATCGCTGTAGGCCTGAACACCTTTAAGGTCATGGCTGGCAGCTACATGGGCTGCATAATCTCCTCCAAGGTCTTTGTAGTGATCCCTCACATCAAAGCCAAAGCTGAAGAATATGTTATTCCAGATAAACATCTGCATCTTGGTCTCTTCCCCAGGGTTGATTGCCATAACATTACCATCAATTACAGCCATAGCTCCTCTGGTGGATGCACCCACAAAATCTGAGTTGATCTGTAGAAAGATGAATTAATTTGGGGTCGAGAGATAGACAGAGACATTAATGAATTTTGTGCCGAGAGAGACATCATAGATACAAACAAATCTTTATTTTAAGACTTTAAAAAACTAGATACGTAAATTGCATGAATGATTTACAATTTTTCTTCTGTTATTAAATTGTTATAAGTCATTTGTGGAAGCCTCTATGTTGCATTGAAATAAATATTTCATAGCGTTCAATATTGATACTACCACATTGTTATCAATACATAGGAATGCCTTGTATTTTGCATGATAATGTTACCTTAAAGTTGGCTCTTTGCCGCAGTAGCTGGTCTGTTGGGAGTTCCCGAGGGAGCTCTCTTGTAGTCTGTAATTCTTCATTCCAATCTCTAGTCTTCAAAAAGAAAACGATAATCAGTTGTTCTTAAGAGTAAATAATGGAATAAATCATATAAACTCCTTGGTTTTTCACAACTGTTTTATAATTCGAATGTATTTTATATATTTATGCAGTTTGAATTAGTTCAATTTATCATTAATGGCATGGGTGAGACTGACGCTTTATATTTATTCCTAGGTTTAATTTGCTTACCTGCAGCACAGGCTCAGTTAACTATGAATAAGGAGAAGGATGCTAGCAAGTAGAATATTTTGTGGCTAATTTGTCCTTCTAAATGATTGACGGTGCAGTAGTGTTCATTTATACTTTCTTTTTTTAAATTTATATATAACAATGTGATAAAGAGTGTTCCTGAAAGAGATTTTACAAAAGGGGAAGCATTCTGATATTAAGCACTGAATGAGTTTTATACATTTTCAACACATTCAGGGTTATGTAGTAAGAAATATCTGACTGAATTCAAAGTGAATATCAATTTTAAGGTCTACATTTTGAAGTTCACCCTTAGTTCACTATGAATTCCCAATAATTCTCACTTTAGTAAATAACTCTAAATATGATCTAAGTATGCTGGTGAATGATGTTGAGCTTGAAGTCCCAGGTCTCTGTAGAAATCATCCGTTGGAATCTGAAAGCTCTCACATTGCACTTTTATACAGGTTTCCTTCACTTTAGTCTAATCTTCTCTATTCTTCTTTTTTCTTCATTGCCCACAATCATATTTTTATAATCCCCTTCTTCACATTGGTGTTTCCTCTCTTTAAACTGATATTCCAAGCACCATTTCACTATGAAAGCTGCACATACAGAGTTTAACTTCTCTGCTGCCAGAAATGTAACTCCAACTCCGGTATTGTCACTGAATGGCTGTGGTTTCTGGGTTCTGTGCAGAAGCCACTCACTCCACTGGACCACCAAGGTGCATCGGAGCCTGGCAGGGACACAACGTTGCCAAATGAACTGCCCTGTGACCTGAGGGAACTGGACCAGAGTACTCCTTATAACCACTCAGCGGGCTGTAGTGGTTATGCAAGTTGGAGTAACCCTTTCATTTCAGTCCTCCCAAACCATTGCTGGCTTTAGTCCACTCATATAAAGGACCTTATCTTCTCCCCTATGTGTCAGGCTTTCCCACTTTCTATATCAGCTCCCCCAAACTATCTCATTCTTACTATACATGCTATTTCTACATTATCACATGCAGGATAAGGGGTTTGTAAAAAAAAAGTATTTGGGTACATCTGGAACATGCATTTCTTAATAGTGTTGCTGCCTAAATACCTAAATGTATACCGTACTGTACTTTAAATGGGGTAAATGGTGTATTAAGGAAAATGGGCAATACCCTTGTCAATCCTCTATAGTTACCGGTTTAGTGAATTTCCCTTTTAATGATAGCATTATATACATTGTACATCAGGTAATTCGGGCATGATGAATATCACAGAACATTAGGAAATTATTAGTGATATAAACAAATCTTCCCAAGTGCACTGGACACTCTGGGATATAACAACCCACCAATATGATGCATTATAACAACACCTATAACCAATAGAAAACTGGAGAGTTTGAGATAGTTCAATACTGCACTACATCTACAAAATACCATACCAATAATTTGGGTAGTATGGAGACACACACTATTACCTGTCCTGGAATGTGTTCTTCATAACCCAGTCGTGAATTGTAGGCATCTTCTGCTCTGACACAGTCAATATTGTGGTTGCTGCTCGGAGCCACCCAGCTGTAAACCTGATAGGGTGTTGCTATTCGCTCCAGTGGATGACGATTCACCCTGGATTTTAATGAACGAGTATGAAACGAATTAAGATGTTGCAATACATTAATGTCCTCAGGTGTCTTAAATAATAATTAAAAAAATTGAGTCTATGGAAGAAAATATAGAGCTTTTGAAATTCCTCTTACATGAGTATTGTATTGTTCTGGTGAGTAGAATCATTCCCTTCAGGCTTTTTTGCTGTAAACACTGTCTTTTCAGAGAAAATGCAGTGTTTACATTACAGCCTAGGGATACCTCCAGTGGCCACTCCTCAGATGGCTACTAGAGGGGCTTCCTAGAGCAGTGCTGCACAGTGTGCAGCTGTGCCATTCGGTGTCTCCACCCTCTGACATGGAGACACTGAGCTTTCCTCATATATACAGAGATGCTGATTGGCCTATGTGTTAGGCTTGTGCTGGCTCTGTCCCTGATTTGCCTCCTTGACAGTCTCAGCCAATCAAAAGCTTTCCTATGTGAAAGCATTGTGATTGGCTTTTGTTCAACACTTCTGATGATGTCAGTCTGCAGCAGCAGACCAGAATACAAGTAAGATTTTACTATATTTAGGAAGGGCAAGTGGCGGCCAGGGGGGCTAGATGGTGGTTTAGCACTATAGGGACAGGAATACATCCCTGACGAAGTTGCACACACTTTGTATTTCTACACTGGGCACATATACACGATGTTCAGAACGGTGATTTAAAACAAGCTATTTTCAGCATGGTCTATACTATTTAAACACTCCAATTCTATTTCTTCCCTCTGTCAGTCTAGCAAGATTTTAAGAGAGAGAGGCTTTACCTTAACTTAGAGTCTATCTCTGTTTACTCTCAAGATTGTAATTGCAAGTTGGAAATTCTTGTACTTACACTGATGTATTATAGAACCTTCATCTGTGAGTAATTTTTATAAACCTCACTCATTCTCTATTTTTAGAGATATTTTAAGTGAGATCTACAACTAGGTGTCTCACCCTCTTCCCCCTTCTTTGCATCAACTCCGCACCTAATGCTATATTGATACACAGAGTGACACATTACCTATTGTTGTTACCATTTTTATTATTATCCATTCCTCCTATGCTGACAACACTCATTGAAGCCAGAGAAGGTGTGGGGGGATGGTTCCAGGGGGGATATTATAGAAACATTTAAATACATAAAGGGAATCAACACAGTAAAGGAGGAGACTATATTTAAAAGAAGAATAACTACCACAACAAGAGGACATAGTCTTAAATTAGATGGGCAAAGGTCAGGAAATATTATCCTAGGTATAAGATAAGGCCGGGGACTAATGAAAGTATTTAGAAAATTGGGCAGACTAGATGGGCCGAATGGTTCTTATCTGCCGTCACATTCTATGTTTCTATGTTCTATTCAATTAAACTAGTTACAATTTAACAGAGGCTTAGCCATTTTGGCTTTGGATTATAAAGTACCTGATCTTTTTTCATTTGGTTATATAGTGTTCAATTAAAATACTATTTAATTATCCAGATAAGACTCGCCCCCTTTTTCTCTTGTGAATGAGTGTTACCATTTGACCCTGTAGTGTACCTTTAAGTCATGTGTTCTGCCTAATCAGTACGTAGTAACCATATGTAAAAATCACAGTAAACCACAATGGAAGAAAATAAAATCTTCATCACATTTTTCTGTAGGTTTTTGTTCTTACAGGGACACTGTACGCACCAAGCAACTTTGGTTTTGGTGTATAGATCTAACAGCTTAATTCTTTGCCATTTAGGAGTTAAATCACTTTGTTTATTTAGCCCTAGCAACACCTCAACTGCATGTGACCTACACAGTATCCCTACACATTTTCTGTAAAGTGAGATCTAATGTTTAAACTTCCTTTATTGCTCAGTCTGTTTAATTTAGAATTTATTATCTCCTTGTTTGCTACTAGCCATCGAAAGCCTACCAACGCCTTTTGTGTGTAACTGCAGCTCAATTAACAAAGCATGAGATAAAAAATTCTAAAGTAAACACTATGCACATACACACTCCATGCTTTAGTGAATCAGTGAAGTAGTCATGGTTCTCGGAGTACACGTTTAAGGCTACGTTCCCTTCAAACTCAAAGGGTAGACTGCTTGCGTTTTTGGACCTCAAATAAGGTACCAAATTTGTAAGGGACATAGAAACATAAAAAGTTTACATTTTATTGTCTTTCCAATTGCACATTTCACTTTATTTAAATAAAGTAGCATCTTAGAAACCTAAGCACAAAAAAACAAACCCCACATTAACTAAACTGGAGTTGAGACTTTTTTACAGCTCTGACATATTGCCCATAACCTTTTTAGGTGGTTAAGGTGCACCATGTATGATGGTAAAATAATGTCAATAAAGGATTTTAGAGACATCATAAACCTAAATATGCTGTCCTGACAGTGGTGAATCGCATGTTGCAAAGTGTTGAGTATAGATTTTATTGCACTGTGTGACATCACACCATACAGGGCAAAATTTGATGACCTGATCTGCCAGTAGAAAAAATAGGGACATTATGGTTTCCTTTTGGCTTAACCGCTCCAGCAATATATAAAATTGGATAACATAATATATAACGAGTAGTAATTTAGTATTTTACCTCTTTTTTTGCAGAGTTGCAAAGTTTTTCTTGAATGCTGGGCTGACCTGATTTAACAGCTCCACAATACTGTGACATAAGTGGCTTGGAGAAGCAGGTTTAGGGTTGAACACCTCTGCTGTCGACCTTTAAAATAAGCACGATATAAATTTAAAAAACTAATAATAAATAAAAACTCAAAAAAATGTTTAATAAGGTTACTAAAATATAGTTAGAATAGAAGGCATCTAAATTTCTTGACAAACTATGAAGTCTTTAACAACACAGACGAATATATTTTTTGAAGAGTTACTCCAAACACCATGACAACGTTTGTGATTTGAAGTAGTCATGGTGCCTGGAGTCTGATCTTGCAGCATTTCGCATTTTCATTGGGGTGTTATCATCCAGTCCGGAACTAGAACTCCAGGGTTGCTAATATCAATTCAGTGCATTCTTTTTTGGACCATAATTGACTGATCCTCTCAGCCAATGAATGGAAAATGCTATGGCAGAGCTGCAGAAGTCAGAATGGTTTCACCGGACCACCAGGGAACATCACAGACTGGCGAGGACCTAGAAAAAGGGACAAATTGTTGCCAATTTGGTTTGCCCCAACATTGGGGACCATGCCAGGGTATGCCTGGCATCATAACCTGAGGAAATACTTAATAATGAACTTTGTGTTGTTGATTACTTGCACTTCTTCTTATTGGATTATTGCCTAAATGCAATTCATTTAAGTTTAACACTTATTAAAACTTCGGTTGAATCAAGTTACCAGTGATTCTCTCTTTTCTTAAAGCTACAGTATTGATACTTTAAAGATTCTCTGTTTCTTCACAATTGTAATTAGGGAGTTTTACAAGCTGCAGTTGAGTTCCAGTCCAAATCACCCAAGTAGCGTAACAAAATCACCAAGCACCAAAAATGGAACCAGCAGAAGTGAATTCCCAAATTACCTCTTTAAACCACAGGGTTGAAATACTCACACAAGGCATGCAGGATTTGCAAATTGCTAATGAGAGACTTCTTTCTTATATTAGAGAAATGCAAAATAAAGTTACACATTCTTCAAGTGACCCTGCTGTCTGCAATTCCGAAACATTTTATGGAGATCGCTCCGAATATAGAGAATTTTTTAATTCATGCAAATTATTGTTTACTCTCAAACCCAGGATTTACCCCTCAGCGGGATTAAGGTCTGTTCAATAATTTCCTACTTAAGGGGTGAACCTATGTCCTGGACACATTAATTTCTGGAAAATGAAGATCCTATTTTGGATTCTTTAGATAATTTTATTGAGGCAATGTCATTACTTTATGAGGACCCTAATAAACAAGCTACAGCTGACCTTACTATTAGATTATTACAACAAAGAAATCGTCCTATGGAGGATTATATAGCTGAATTTAAAAGATGGGCTTCAGAAACCCAATGGAATGATATAGCTCTACGTAATCAGTTCCGTTTAGGATTGTCTGAACCAGTTAAAGATGAATTATCTAGAACCATTCTTCCTCCAACGCTGGATACATTAATTCAACTCTCTATTAGTATAGATAGAAGAATCAGAGAATGAAAAGCTGAAAAGGCTCTCTCTAATTCATTTTGGAAAAAACCCAATCCACCTTTGCGCATGCCTAATAAACCCTTGCAACCAAGTGAACCTATGGAAGTTGGGTTTATTAGGGGACCTTGGTCTATAGAAGAAAAAACAAGAAGAAGAAATTTAAATCTCTGTATGTACTGTGCTTCTAAGGAACATCTTTTACAAGAATGTCCTCTACTAAAACGCGCTAAGGGAGGAAAGCTTAAAATTAATACCTCAGTTCTGAAAACACTTCCCTCTTCCTGCTCTCATCAGTTTGCAGTACCTCTAATTCTACAGTGGGACAAAGAAAAAATCAAGACTGAAGCTATTATAGATTCTGGAGCTACAGGGATATTTATAGATTCTTCGTTTGTTGAAACCAATAAAATTCCTTATGTGAAAAAAGCATCTTTTATCTCCATCAGAGTTATTGATGGATCTTTAATCCCTTCTGGTCCTATAAAAAAATGAAACTATTTCTATCAGGACAATTGTCAATGGTGACCATTCAGAATTTCTTGTTTTTGATATTATAAAATCCCCTCTTTTTCCAATCATCTTAGGAATCAACTGGTTACAAACTCATAACCCTTTTATTCGTTGGGCTCCCTTTTCTCTCACCTTTGACTCAGAATATTAAGTAAGGATAATTGTCTCCCACAGATTCCTACACTTCAATTAAGTCAAGAAAAATTAAGACCTGGATCTCGTAACAAGAAAGCTAATGCTCTTTCCAGAATTCCATTTAATCCTGCTTCAGAAGAGAAAACCTTTTCAATATTGTCAAACAATAAAGTTATTGGATTTACAACTACTATATTGGATGAACTGAAACAATTATCTTACAAGGAACTTGAGCTACCTTCTACTCCTAAATTATTAAAAAAAAGATGGAATCTTTTATTTAAAAAATAGAATTTATATTCCTCCAAAACTCTGAAACAACCTCTTAAAATGAATTCATGATTGTCCACTTGCTGGACATCCCGGAATAAAAAAGACACTTGAACTCTCTACTAGACAATATTGGTGGCCTCGTCAAGACAAAACCATTGAATCCTATGTAAAGTCTTGTCCAGTTTGTCAAAGGTCCAAAGTGGAACGTCACCTTCCTTATGGATTATTGACTGGATTACCAGTACCTGAAAGACCTTGGCAGTCTATTTCCATGGACTTTATGGTGGAACTCCCTCCTTCTCAGAAATACGCCACCATCCTTGTTGTAGTAGACCATTTCACAAAAATGTCACATTTCATTCCTTTGAAAAAGTTACCCTCATCCTCTGAACTTTCCAAAGTTTTCATTGACAATATAATCAAATTACATGGATTTCCTGAAGAAATAATCTCAGACAGAGGTTCTCAATTTACTTCACGTTTTTGGAAGGAAATGTGTTCTTCACTTCAAATCCAACGTAAACTTTCTTCAGCGTACCATCCCCAAACAAATGGTCAAACAGAACGAGTCAATCAATGTCTGGAACAATACCTTCGTTATTCCTGTACGTATTTACAAGATGACTGGAGTAATTGATTACCCATGGCTGAATTTGCCTATAATAATTCCATACATTCAAGCAGCAAAATGACTCCATTCTTTTCAAATTATGGATTCCATCCCTCCTTGTTCTCTGAAGATCCCAAGACAACTTCTAATCCAATGGTTTCTTCTCAAAATATGGAAATGTCTTCATTGTTCAAACAATTAAAGAAAAACCTTGAAAGCTCTATGTTCTTATATAAAAGGAAATATGATATTAAAAGGAGAGCTCCTCCTAAATATAAAATTGGTGACACTGTTTGGTTGTCTTCAAAAAATATTTCTACTAACCGTCCTTCTAAGAAGCTAAGTCCTCTTTTTTTTGGAACTTTTCAAATTGAATCAATTATTAATGAAAATGCAGTAAAATTGAAACTTCCTCCTTCACTTAAACTGCATCCTGTTTTCCATGTTTCACTCCTAAAGTCTTTTCTCCCAGATCCCTTCCATAGGGAACAATTGTGGAAGCCTGACCCCATTGAAGTACAAGGAGAATTGGAATATGAAATAGAGAAAATTCTTGACTCCAAACTTCATAGAGATAACTTACAATACCTTATTAAATGGAAGGGTTATGGAGAAGAAGATAACACATGGGAGAATTCCTCTGAAATACATGCAAAGAAGTTGATTACTGACTTTTACAGGAGATACCCTCAAAAACCGAGGTAATAGCACCCGGAGTGTGCTCCTTAGGTGGGTGGTCCTGTCATGCGGTAACACTTCCGGGTTTGGAACTCCGCTGTGCGGAGCCGGACTCCGCCCCCCTCTGACACGGCTCTAACGGTATTTAGGGAGACCGCGCCAGAGAGAGGGAGCTTGGCGAGACTGGGAGCTACTTCCGCCAGACTGACCTCTCCACAGGCTCTGGCATTGTGGGTCCTACTTCCAAATATGCACGCCGGCTCCTGGGACACGCCGGCTCTACAAACTCTGAAGTCGTCCTAGCCTTCTGGACTAAGACAAGTATGCTTCATGTCATAGAGGATTACTGGAAAACGGAAATTCACATACTTTACAAGTGGACCATATCCCTAAACTATTGGAGGACTACTCAGATTAACCTTAAGTATATCTTTCAGCTACATTATCATTTATTAATAAACTAATGCTTGCTTACTCAAATCTTCATTGCTACAAACTACTAATTATAAGGAGGACAACTCCCATCATGCTTATTCACTATGAACTGTTTCTTGCTTTGCAAACATACTCAGTGCTTCAAACTACTAATTATATGGAGGACAACTCCCATCATACTTATTCACTATGAACTGTTCTCGCTTTGCAAATATTCTTGGCTACTTGCTTATTGTTTCTATTGAAGATTATTCTCATGAACTTAAAGAATGTTACTTAATGCATCTCTGGGGAAATACTTAATAATGAACTTTGTGTTGTTGATTACTTGCACTTCTTCTTATTGGATTATTGCCTAAATGCAATTCATTTAAGTTTAAAACTTATTAAAACTTCAGTTGAATCAAGTTACCAATGATTCTCCCTTTTCTTAAAGCTACAGTATTGATACTTTAAAGATTCTCCGTTTCTTCACAATTGTAATTAGGGAGTTTTACAAGCTGCAGTTAAGGTCCAATCCAAATCACTCAAGTAGCGTAACAGGTTGTAAGAGATACACAAGGGAGTTGTAAGATACACAATGGGAAACAAAATAGGAGATAAGATACACTAAAGGGGATAAGACATTTAAAAGAGGGGATAAGAAACACAAAAAAGAGGTTAAGAGGCACACAGGTGAAGATGTTATTTGGGGGGGAGGAGGGGGAACTGCATCTTTGCCTATGTACCCAAAAATCCTTGCCCTGCCTAAATCATGTTTAAAAACGGCAGCTGTCTCTGCCTGCTTGCCTGCTATGGAGGCAGAGACAGGATCTCTTGGCTTTCACTTGGCTGTGGAGTCAGAGGGAGGGGGAATGGAACAGCCACTCCCTGGCTGACAGGGAGTAAGAGCTGATGCATTTCGGGAGTCGTAGTCCCTGCTAGGGGCTCACTCACGCTCCCGGGGGGGCGGGGAGAACCTAGCTTTAGCTCAGCAGGAAATCACAACCCCCAGTCTCCTAGTCCTGACACAGACAATCTTCTTGGAGGTTGGAGGCAGAGGATAGGCAGCACCAGCAGTGTGAGAGAGACTTGGTGTGACTGGCTGTATTATAAAACCAGGAAAAGGTGGGCATGGATGGTGAGCTGATTCGGTGGTGCAATGGGCCACTTGACTGGATTTACCCCCAGGCCTAAGGCTGCCAGCCCTCCCCTGACTATAGTAAAACAAATATAAATGTGAAACCTCATGGATGTAAACATTACTTTACTGCATTCTTTAGGGTAAATTACCCAATGCATGCTATTAAATGATTTCTTAGCATCTTTCGACTCAAGAATGTAACAGACGAGGATCATTCCAGAACTTACTGATTAATGTAAAATCCACGGTTGGATGCAGTAATGTTGATATGATGATCTTCCATTGTTATAACACTCAGGTACATCAGATCTCCGTGCATTTTGCGATTGCCAGGTGGGGGATTCCATCCACTCATCATCAAGGATTTAAGGCATTGAGGAGGCTGTAGGAAATATAGAATAATCAAGGTAAATATTTATAGCATGACATGATTAAACTGTGTTGGAAAATTCGGGGCCAGTACAAACCATTATCTGGAAATCTATTCATAAACAGGGCTACACATAGGACACGAGGTCACGCATTTAGGCTGGAAGAAAGGAGATTTAATCTAAGGCAAAGAAAAGGTATTTTTTTTTACAACTATAGAACTATAGGGGTGTGGAATTCTCTGCCTGAAGAGGTGGTTTTATCAGAGCCCATACAGATGTTTAAACAGTAATTGGATAAATACTTGCAAAAAACATAACATACAGGGATATAATTTCTAATTAGTGGGATAATAGCTGCTTGATCCAAGAAGATATCTGACTGACATTTTGGGGTCAAGAATGAATTCTTTCCAAGTTTGTTGCAAAATTGGAAGCGCTTCAGACTGGGGTTTTTTTTGCCTTCTTTTGGATCAACAGCCAAAACATATGTGAGGAAGGCTGATCTTTTCAGCTATGTAACTATGTATGATGATGGAAGAGGTATGTACGTTAGTGAAAGAGAAATGAAGCCAAATTATTATCTCCCAGTGTTGTTATACTATAACTTCCACAACTCAGTGGCTTGCAGAGCATTATGGGAGTAGTAGTCTAACACGATCTGGATGGGAAGAGGTTGACATGCTTGACTTAGGGAAATGAAGTGGCCTTTCACCAGAACATATATTTAGATGGGAATTATTATACATATTTAAATAACAATAAGCGTTTTTAGAATGTTAGAAGCATAAAAGTGTTATTAACAGAAATAATGATAATTTTAAATAGTTCAATTGGATTTTGTCCACAAATTTTTCGGCATGTCTGGCTTGTTGCAGTTTTACTTTTTAAATTAGAATAATTATATTAATAGGGTAAAAAAAAAAAAAAATTTAAAATAAATAAATAAAATAAATAAATAAATAAATATATATATAATAACAGGGCAGCCTACATAACAATCAAGATACTTTATACTATAGATACTTATAAAGATACTAACACACAATAAATATACTTTTTTCTTTTGATGGGAAATTTGCAATGCAACACTTCATTAAACTCAAATGGTTACTGTTATTTTATTTTTATAAATACATGACCTACCTCTATACATGCAGCTCTACTTTAAAAGGGACACTCCAGGCCCTTACAGCACTACGGTTTGTTGAAGTGCTCTATGTGTGAAGTGTGTGTCCTTTTATTTAATTTAACAAAAAGTGCAGCTTTCAACAGAAATTGACACTTACATAAATTAACCTTGTCACACTCCCTGACTCTTAATCAATTCCTTGTAGTGGAGTTAAACTCAAGAGGCAGCAATTGCTCAGAACAGCTGCCTTGCAAAGACTTGTGATTGAGCTGCATTGGGAAGTTTGTGATTGGACAGCCACAGGAAGTCTGGGCAAGTTTGTGATTGGACAGCCACAGAAAGTCTGGGCAGGCTGCCTGGCAAAGACTTGTGATTGAGCTGCATTGGGAAGTTTGTGATTGGACAGCCACAGGAAGTCTGGGCAGGGTTAGAAGGGAGGGCTGGCAAACACTTCTGATAAGAGATCTGCAGCTTTTGCAAGCTGTTTTTATAAAATATCACAAATGAATACATGCATTACTAAATGCATTCACATTTTCATTGGAGGGTATAGCTACTAAACAATGATTTTTATTTTTTATTTGGGCAGTGGAGTGTCCTTAAAAATAAAATAAATTTTTAACTTAAACCAAAACAAATTATCTAACACAAAATGAAAAAGGTGCGTGCACAATGAATAACTGTTTCCCTCTAGCCTTACTAACAGGAATCCTTTTTTTTTTTTTTTCGTAATGAATGACAAAAGTCTTAACACCAAAAAACACATGTACAATAAATAATGGAATTCTTCTAGCCTTACTAACAGAAATCCTTTATATTCTAATGAATGATAACATTCTTATCATCAAAACAACATCTGTTCTAAATTATTTTGCTGTTTTAGAAGACATTGTGCAATATTTGTTCATGGGTCAGTCAGTGTGGTCAACTGTCCTAGCTGCAAAACACACTGTTAATTAGTCAGCAAAACAAGACATGAGAGGCAGGATCATGGTGATGAAATGGAAAGACCTTGACACTTCCAGATACAGTGTGATATTTATGCGTGGCAGTTTACTTTATACGGCCATCGTTTTATCAGCCACTAATGTTTTTTACTCTGGGTAAAATGTCAGATTATAGGGGAATAATCAAAACTGCCATTTGTTTATTACATATTATATCTATTGTGTATTTAATTTTGAAATTTCTATTTTATTTTTTAGAAAGCATTGCATGTGCATCTCTCAAATGTCTCAAAAATCGCATTAATGGGAGAACAATCTATGACAGGGTGCAGTAACCAAAATATAGCTAAAAGGTGTAAATAGAGACTGAAATGAAATGAGAGGTACTAAATAAAACACAATTTAGACAATGCAGTTTTACTTAATATATCCAAAATATAACCAGTTTTATTTAATACACCAATATTATTTATGAGAGACTTTCACTACTCTACCTTGCTGTCCACAGTGAATGGTTGGAGTGGTTGTAATGGACGTTCCATACTCCCTGGGAGTATATAATCTGGAGGAGAACAATCAATAGCTTCCAGACCTTGTTCTGTAGAAGAGCGTTTTTTCTTCTTGCCATTGTTTTCATGAGCGAGAGAATCTAGAAAAGATGACAACAATGTTCACAAGAAAGTAGGACAATAAACTTTATAACCTGCCAATCACATCTAATTAATTTTCAAAATGAGCTCCCATGTTGTAATACAATTACTATAAGAAAGCAATGTGTTTTTAGGACCCAATTAAGGAATTTCAATAGGAACTGTTCATTCTCCATGCAAAACATAAACGTTACACAACATTCTTATGAATTAAATTATAAAACAGTTTGGGTATTAAAATGTCATAATGGGAGATTTTACAGTTGGTATTCATGTAATCAGGGTTGTTCTAAACCAATTTAATTTTTCATCCATTTTCTTCCTTCTTTTAGCCCCTCTTTCTACAATTTTTTCAAAATTAATTGTGAGCCAAGTGCGTTATGAGGAATACCTTTTGCTTAATTACAAAGGTAAAACATTTAATTCTGTGACACTAAATTGTATACATATACCAAATGTTGTTTATTCCAATAAAAAGATTTAAATCACTACTTCTTTCACAAAACTTTGAAGTTTACCTCCAATATCACCCTCTGAGATGTTGTTCAGAAATGAAAGAGAGCTGCAGTCCACACCATTGTAAGCATCAGTGAGATCTAAACTTTTTAGCAGGTCCCGGAAATGACGAATATGAATCCGAGCTTCTCTGATTGTGTATGGCTCTAAAAATACAAAATAAATCAATTGAGCTAATCAAAGTTAACTTGGTATGCAGATAATCAGAGTTGACATCAGGAGGGAACAGGCAGTACCTTTGTATTGTGTCAGGTCCAGCTCAGGGTCTCACGTGGGGCCCTGTATTGCTTTTGGTCCTGTTGGTTAGATAACTATGTCTCCCTGACAGGGACTGCATTGGCTAGCAGCATTACAATGGGCCATATATTATATAGGAGCCTGCAAAGATATCATATAAATCCCTTCCTCTCAGCGTTACCTTGTAGATGCTATAATTGGTAGCTGAGATTCAGCTGTGGGACAGCTGTGTAGAGGCGGTAATGATGTACCATGTTAAAATGCCGCTCTCCATCTCACACTGCTCTGTTGCACGCAAACTGGAATACATGATGGCCTCATAGGTAGGGCTGCCTTGGGGGTAAAGGGTAAGGGCCAGGGACATATTTGACTAGCTACTGTGGAGGGAAGAGGTTAGAGACCTGTGTTTATAAGTGTCTGACTGTGTGTGAGTGTGCATTTCTTTCTGTGTGTCTGTTTGACCGTGTGTATCTAACTAATTGGGTGTGAGTTTGTATATCTGTTTGTGTGTGTGTATCTAATAAAGTGTATGAGTGTGTATGTCTAGCTGTGTGTCTGTTTGAAAAAGTGTGCATGAGTCTGTGTGTTTGTCTGACAGTGTATGAGAGTGTGTTTGACTGTGTGTACATATCCAACTGTGTGTTTCTTTGATGCTGTGTGTGCATCTGCATATGACAGTGGGAATCTGTGTGTATTTCTAACATTGTATACCTGTATATTTGACTGTGGATGTGCATGGCATTGTTTATTTGTGTCTGGCATGTAGGTGTATTATGAAAGTGTGTGTGTGTGTGTGTGTGTATGTATGATAGTTTATATCTATGTTTGTGGAAAAAAGAAATATCTAGGCACACCTGAGGTTTCTTCTAAAAGGTAGTCTTTATTTGAAACAAGGAAGTGGAGACAACGTTTTGGCTCCTCTCTGAGCCTTTATCAAGTTTTGATAGCAGTTCTGCACACAATTACCTCATGAAGAAGACATGCTTCTGTCACATGAGTGACTATCATCAGTCTATATTTTCTTTTATAAATATCAATTTGCGAAGATTTCATCAAATATCACTTACCTTCTACCACTTTTAAAACAGAGCCCTCTTTTAAGCCTTCCACAGTCCTCAGCTCTGAGAAGTTGTCCAGCACATTGCCTTCAAACTGCAGTGAGAAACAAGTTCGGTGACAAGAGTCTTCATGTTCCATCAAAACCTGGATAATCTCTTGGATCAGCTCTTTAGGAGACACCTGGAAAATCGAAAACGCATTTACATTGAGTTATTGAGCCTATAATATTGGATGTAATGATTTACTTTTCTGTGTGGTGTTGGATCATGTGATAACTAATTGATTTAAAAATGACATACATGTTTTAAAGTATTCTCAACCATTAACCAATTTTTTTGTAACCTAAGAGTTGGGAATTTAGATTCTCAGACAAAGTCAAGGACTCTATTTGCCCTTCTGAGTAGCGTGAATCCCTGAGACACTACATAATTTTAAACCTTTAATAACTTCTCACATGTATTCTTTGTAGAGATATGTTGTGATAACCAAATGGTCTATTGACATTTGTCGAGGGAACTGTAACTTGGCAGGACTTTAAGATAAATAAAAAGATTGGAGTAAAAACCACGCAAATTCCTTATTTATGTATACAACATCCCATATTCTTAAAGATCCATATATCCTCCATGTCTCTACTTTGTTTCTATTTCTTTTTTTCTATTGTTTTGTGTTTTTCTGGATACAAAACCAAATTATCTTCTTAAAAGAAAAAAAAAGGTTGACAATGCTATTATGCTTCTCAGTTGTTAAATTATCTTTTCTGCTTTGTTATAATTTTTCTACGTATTGTTACAATTCCAAGTAATTGTTTGAACAAGTATAAATGGCTACAAATGATCCCTTAAATTTTTATAAGGGCACTGCCATCACCATAACCACTACAACCCATTATAGTGGATATGGTGCCCGGAGAGCCCTGGCTCTATCCCACTGCAGAGAGTCCAACTGCTTTCACAGATATTGCTGTAAGATCCTTCTTAACATCAATGATATCAATACAGTCCGTCTTTGGATGAAATTAATTAGTGTGTCAGCTCCCACTGCCGAGCTAATGAATTCTATCCAAAGTTGTACAAAACTGATGAAAAAGTTAACTTTATTTAAGCAATATATGTGAAAACAGTTTGAGTTTTCCAGCGTACGACTGTGCCAGGGAACTCCTGGTACCACTACAGTGGGCTGCAGTAGTTATGGTGCATAGTACCTTAGTATCTTTAAAATGTGCTTCTTTCAGAACGGGGAGATGCCACAAAACAAATATAGCACACCAAGACATATTATACAACAAGATGACAGGGATTTTAAAAATGGATACAACTGTTCACGAAAAATGAAAAAGTCATCGGTCTAAATCATAACCTTTAATCTCTCTCAGATAAAGGATGAATAACTGTAAAAAAGTAGAATGTAACAACAGATGTGTAAAAAATTACTGACAGCCATTCTTTTGACATATTATTTAAGTATGGCATTATTAATGAAAAATATAATAACATTTTGTTTTTAGTGATGTCCCGAACGGTTCGGGACATCACTATTTGTTTTATCTATAACTTAAAAATACATTCTAATTATTACATAATATAAAGCCCAAATGAGTGTAGTTGCAGAGCTAAACAGTCTTTAAAAAAAAAAAAAAAAGAAAACTCATAGGGTACAACAGATAATATTTCACCTGCATGTCAACAATATCTCCTCCAGGCAACTGAATCTTCACATCAAACACATCTTGACAGCTTTGCTCATCTTCAGCAGTTACTTTGCTTACTGCATTTTCATCAGTTTCACTGGTGGTAGCTGTAAAGACATTGACATCAGAGATGACAAGTGACATATACGTCTGCTTAGGCACAAACATAGCATTTTCATTAAACTTTAAGGAAAACAGTATAAGGTGAATCAGAAGGACACCGCCATTTAAAGGACCACTCTAGGCACCCAGACCAGTTCAGTTTAATGAAGTGGTCTGGGTGCCAGGTTCAGCTAGGGTTAACCCATTTTTTTTATAAACATAGCAGTTTTAGAGAAACTGCTATGTTTATAATAGGGTTAATCCAGCCTCCAACTCCTCTAGTGGCTGTCTCATTGACAGCCGCTAGAGGCGCTTGCGTGCTTCTCACTGTGAAAATCACAGTGAGAACACGCAAGCGTCCATTTACAATGCTTTCCTATGAGACCGGCTGAATGCGCGCGCAGCTCCTGCCGCGCGTGCGCATTTAGCCGAAGGGGAGGAGGAGAGCTCCCGCCAAGCGCTGGAGAAAAGGTAAGTTTTAACCCCTTTCCTCTCCCCAGAGCCGGATGGGAGGGGGACCCTGAGGATGGGGACACCCTCAGGGCACTATAGTGCCAGGAAAACGAGTATGTTTTCCTGGCACTATAGTGGTCCTTTAATGTGGAACTAGTGGAATGGCAGCAGACCTACCTCAAAGTCCTTAAACAATAATCATCCAAGGCTCCAAGTGATCACTCTGTCACCTCTACTCAAACATATAGAGAGTTATTCACTAAACAACAGATTTTGCCCAGGTACACAAAATCCGGTTTAAAAAATGGCTGAATTCTCATATTTACTAAAGCCAAATCCGATTGTAATTTGGTTGGGCCAAATGAATCTTCAGCAATGGTACAGATGAATTTTGTGTCTAGATTAAAATCAGTGCTTTTGTATCCAAATCCTCTTCCATAATTCGAGTTTTATTCTTTTTCTTGTTTCTCAAATAAGTTTATGCAGAAGAAGAGACTCAGCTTCCTGCTTTACAAATATTGTCATGTTTACAAATACCTTTTATATTCTAGCCATAAAAATTTAAATCTTTAATGTTCCCTCTTCTGCAGAGAGTGGTCTAGTGATCTGAGGGAATATTCATTCAGCCACCATAGGTCATACACTTGGTAAATCTTGTGTAACTTTTTTTTGTTGTTAAATTTTGTATATGTGTTGTGTATTAATATTGTCTTTGTATTTTATTGTACTTGTTGAATCAATGCAATGTTTTGTAGACCCAGGACATACTTGAAAATGAGAGAAATCTCAATGTATCCTTCCTGATAAAATATTTTAGAAATAAATATCCACAGTGCTGGGTATATTTTTGTCCATATTATGCATCAGCAATCAATCACTTCATCATGCTTAACATAAATTCTCTAAATTGATAAATCTATGTCACTGCATTTTCTTAGTTGGCCATAATGAAATGCTTGTCTTTTCTGTCTTTTTTTTAATGCAAATTCAATTGATCACTGCACCTTACAGTAGTACTTTGGGAGAGGGGCATTCTTATCCTGTACAGATAAGATAACCAAAAGATTATGTATTCATTTAAAACGTAAACTCTACCAAATGAGGCAACTTATTCACATTAATTATACAGCTAGAAACCTCTGAATGATTTGCAACAACTTTGAACATATGCATGAGCTGCGAGGCAACATGGGAAACTCCAATAATATCAGAAATAAGCTGCCACTACCTGTCACTTTTGTGAGAGAGGTACTCAATATATCTCGTCCTAGTACCTGTATTTTTGTTGGTGTTTCTATCTACATAATGTACATTAGTGAGATTAGGGGGCATTGACAGTTTCATATTTTGAACCAATTCATAGCCATTCAAGACGCTAAACACTATGCCAACTGTAGACAACTTTTGGCACTTCAGATGTTGTGGACTACATCTTCCACAGTGCTCTTATAGTCACAATGCTGGCAAAGCATCAGGGGAGATGTAGTCCGTAACATCTGGCATTCCGAATGTGGCCTATCCCTGAACTATGCTCTGACTCTGAGCATACAATATACAGCTATAGCAACAAAACAGGCCAGTTTAGAAAACTGTGTCTTCCAGTAACTTCCAGGTGACTGTCAATTAACTTTTGAACATACAGTGTCAAGGTCAGCATAGAAATATTTCTTAGTTTTCAATATTAATATGTTTTATTCAATTATTTTTTCGTATAGGGTAGTCTGCTACTGTCATGACTGATTGGTGACCCCCACCATTAAATATCGGGAGAGATACACGTTAGCAAAAACTTTGAGACATTCCATGCTTATTCCCCTGGGGCAAATATTTTACCAGTATGGTCAGACTGCAGCGCTTGCATATTAAGCCCTATAGCAATATATTTTGCAGATACAGAGCTTTTCTAGACAGATGCCTTGAAATATGAAGTTTCACAAATTCCAAACTAATAACCTGTTGCTGATATAGATGAATATATATATATGGAAATACACTTTACAGGTTCAAGCAAATCCAAATAAGCATAGAGTTAGCATCGTATAGTTTTTTTTTTAGTAAAATAAGATATATAAATATTTAATTTTTACATGATTCTCAGACACTATTTCAAACAGTATTTTCTATTCAGGTGTAGCTGTCATACATTGATTTCTTTTTACTACATAATTTGCATTATTTCACTTCTTGCAGTGACCAAGGATTTAAAGGGAAACAAACCACAGTCAACAAAACTCACCGTTTATTCTTTAATGCATTGTGCTGATAATATATGAATTAAATGTAATAAAATGTATTGCTTTAATATATTTAAAATAAGCAACAACAACAAAAAAAAAAGAAGAAATTGCAACAAATGAAAATATAAAATATACCTACCGTCACAGATCCTGAAACTGCTGTTAGCTTCAGAAAGCCCCCTCCCAGACCAGAAGGAACATGCATTATTCAGTAGCTTCTAATTCTGGTCTATGGAGTTCCATATACTTTTGTCGTGAAACAATACAAACTATAGAGGTGCTTTGAGTAACCCTCTAAGGATCATGCTCCCATCACAAAAACTACAGCCTGGCCATAGACACACATCAACACAACAATCAGCCAACCCTATACAAACAACACACTACAAGCAGCTCTGCCACACACATATGCTCACAGACACAGATATGCATTCCATGTGCAGTCATGAATTAATATACAAACAGATATATTCACTCACAGATTCATAAGGATATGCACTGCCAGACACAGCAAAAATACACTTAAACATTACTTTCCAGGACACCCAAATACTTTCTGATGAGCATGATCTAACCAGCGGAGGACCCACTGAAATGGCATGGGCACTCAAATGTAGGTCTCAACCGAGGTGTTAAAAACGACATGATCTAGAGTATCAAATATATGGGTTTTTGCAGATATTTGTCTGGCTAGCTTAAAAAGCATTAATATGAACACATGGCAATGGCAACTGCACGCAATAAATTCAGAACATGATCCAGGGGTTAATAGCCATTGATGTAAAGATCTTCCCATCCCTGTGTATGGGTTTTTGAAGATATATGGCAGGATAGAAACACAAACAAAAGGCAACACGATTTTCAGACCCAGACTTTGACGGATAGGTTAAGAACCACTTATCTACAATACCTATCCTGTCCTCAATATGAATGTTTGCAGACATGTGTTTGGCTATCTTTACATTGTAAAATCTATTTAACGCACACGGCAGGTATATGTTTGGCTACCTTTACACAGTGAAATCGATACAATGCACACGGCAATGAGAGTTTCAGGCTCGGGATAATGTTTTTACACATTCAGACTTGTCTCTGCTTTCTAGTTAAAGCTTGAGCAGGATGACAGCTGTTCAAGGTTTCTTATCTTACACATCTGCTTGAATGTCATTTTTCAGTGTTAAAGGGGAATACTATTTGTAAATTATTCAAAAATAGGAAAGGACAGATAGTTTACTTTGTCAGTGATAAAGTGCTAACGCCAAGGTTAACAATTATTTGTAGGGCTGAGCTAGATAAATGTAGGAGTTGTCTGTGATATTTATAGGAGTCAGAGAATAACATAGACAAAGTTCCATATACTTCACTCAAAAATTAGGGGCTACAAATGTTTTAGGGGCTACAGCACGGGTGCCTAATAGGTAGATACCCAGATGTTTAAAAACTACAACTCCCATGATCATTTTGTCATCCTAAAAACATTCTAAAGGCATTCAAATAATCATGGGAGTTGTAGTTCTACAACATCTGGGGATCTACCTTTTGGGCACCCCTGGGCTACAGTGAGTGACTTTGGCCTGTGGCCAGTCAAAATTGTATACTTAAGGTAAGATTTACTTGTTTCTTTAATAAAAAAAAACCCAACAACCTAAAAGCTAACTAAAAAACTAAAAACAGGTTTGTGATTCGTGTGTGTGTATGTGTGTGTTTCTTCTTTTTTATAATATTCTCTGATGTTTATTTGACAGTTTACACTACATGCTCTGTAATTTAGTTAAAACCCTGTAAGGAATTTCTAAATGAGTAAGGCATTTCTCTGTTGATGCATAAGAGCATGCGTAGAGCATTATGGAGTGGTAATTTTCAGCAGTGGTAAGTGCATTTTTTTCTACGATCCTCTGCTTCACTATTCACCCCAATCTTGTAGCGTTTACTAGGGTAAGGGAATGAGAGAAGTTGTGAGGGAATGATGACTTTTCCAGAGACATTCTACTTTAATTTTCTTTTGGGGAGAAATATTTATGTATAGTAATGTGGTTTGATAGGCACGCTGCATATTGGAAATATAGGCAGTGGCAGGGCTGTGAGACTCAGGATAAAAGAAAACATACCATACAAATTTAATTAGAGAAAAACTAAAATTCAAGTCAGAATATAAACACATAATAGTTTACTGTCAATTAAAGAAATATTCTAAGCACCATAACCACTACTGCCTGCCTTAGCAGTTGTGGCACCAGGAATGTTCAGACACTGTCACTAGTTCCAGTATTGTCCTTCAGGAGAATCCACTTAGCTCTACAGAGGACCCTTCTCACTTGCTGAGAGAGTCTTGATGACACATGCTGTAGCGGATATGGTGCATGGAGTGTTCCTTTAGATTCACACTTTTTGGAACAACATTAGTAAACATATGTTAAATATCTTTCATGTACACATTTATACATTTATGCTGCAAAGATCTTATAAAATCAGTTTATGGTACAATATTGGCACTAATATAAAGTGAGAAGGAAAGAGGTGGCGATGTTAACCCCTAAAGCATTTCAGCAAGCTTTTTGGAGTGGTCCTTTAAGAGTCCAGTATTAGGAAGTACTAGCGTTTGTGGCTTACATATTAGTAAAGAAAAATAAGCTAAATTTTAAACGCAAATATATAATCTGCATTCTTCGGAGGCAGGAAAAATCCTTTGGAAAACCAGCATAAAATGCTGAATGTGTCAGTGTTGTGTTATATCCATTGTAAACTGCTTAATGTAGATTAACATTTCATGGAATTATTTTGTATAAGTTCATACCCCCCAACATTTCAAATGGACAAAGAGGAACACTTTAATTGTACGGGTGTTTGTTAGGATGTGGCCAGGGGCACAGCTGTTCTGAAAAAATTTAGGTAAATTAATGCACGCTATAGTGTTAGAATTAAAACTGCATTCCTAACACTACAGTGTCCCTCTGCCCCTACTGGCAAATAAAAGGTTAAAAACGGATTTCAATGAGATTAAGTGGTCTGGGTACGTATAGTATCCCTTTACCAATTACAATTTATGGAACTAAGATGCCATTTAGAATAAGAATGATGTATCCTATTTACACACACTGACATTTAAACAAATTTTTTTGTAGTTTAACTACATGTACTGGTAGAATTATTGCCAACAATATAAAATTCCTAGAAATAAGGGACATTAGGATGGTAAAGATGGACAGAGGGATATGGGCCCAAAATAGGGACTGTCCCTCTTAAATAGGGACATTTGGAAAGCATGTAATTTCTATCAATTATTATTCTGTATTTAATGGCTTACATTCTAAAAACTCACAAATCAGACAGCATGGATTGTAATTTATTATAGGAGTCATTCATTTCTTAGATCTTGCCATGATTTCCATAGACACAGATAAACTTCTTTTTGTTTAATGTGATTCTGGCAACCACTAATAGTATGGATTACCAGTTTACCTGAAGTATAAGTATGTATTGATTCAATATATACATTAGCAAAATTGCAAGCAAATGTATAACACATACTTGAAGACACCTTTCACCTCCTGTAATCTGGAATCAGGAAATATAATGCAATATACTATGATTAATTGGCAAGTGGGTACAAGTTAGACATGTTGGTGGAAATTTTGTTTTCAAACATGGACTTAAAACTATGTGTGAAGGCCATGGACACCACCAATCTATGATGCTATACCAATGGCACAGACTGAGAAGATCTATAAAACAAGAAAAAACATTGCATCCATACATTTGCTAACAATTTGGCTAATCCAATGTAAAACACCTCTGTATATGATTCATCTTTTATGCTTTCCCTAGTAGGCCCTAATCCTATCTTTTCTGTAGACCCCTAGAGATAATTTAATTAAATTCAAGTATGCTGAGTTTGTATGCATGTACTACGTAAGATGCATGTATGATCAAGAAATTTTCAGAAAAAAGAATGAATATTGTTTCACATAGCCTGCAGCATATCTGATTGTTCCTGAAGCCTGTACACCTCTTGTTGAGATCATCCTTTCAGCTCAATGGTTAGTAAGTGGGCCTTTAAGTGTGATAAATGACTCTTGGATATTTGCTACCATGTGATATATATACTTGTTGCATTTACTCATTACTATTAGCTTTATGTCTTGCACTAATCCCTCCCCCCTCACCCCAAGATGCATTGAGCCAATGTACTTCTATGAAGAGATGCTGACTGGTGCAGTGCGTCAATTGCCAAGCATGCGCACAAGCCTCCCAATGCTTACCTATGGGGAAGCATTGGATTGGCTGAGGTCATCTGTAATAATGATCTCAGCCAGTGGAGGAGCGACAGTCAGGGGACTAAAGATACTTTTAACTTTTTATTTTACTTAAGGAAAGACCATTAATCTAACTCTGCCATTAGGATACATGTTTGTGTTTGAAACGCCAGTGTTCTTTAAATAAACAGAAATATTACATGAAAAAAGAATGACAAGCTACATTCATATAAGCAATAAATATAAACCCAAAAACCATTAATGAGAACCACTTGTGCAAGTGAGAAGAATCTGGCGGCGACTTGCATTCACTTGCAATTTTAGATTATATGTCTATTTTTGTAATTTTTACAGATTTGCCGATGGCAGAGATCAGAAGATGAAACGAATACAGGGAAAGAACTTTTTACCTCTCTCTCCTGATTCTGATGTAAGAGTGTCTTGGACTTTTCATCTAATTTATTTATTGGTTTAACTTACCTTTCTGTGTACACCCAGTTGCCTTTTACGCCCCATGATCATATTCACATTGCAATTCCCTGTAAATTTGAGTGCTATTTTCTGAATTACCATCACAATGTATCAAAAAGAATTGCAAATGAAAAAACTAAACATATTATAAAATATCATGCAAGTAAACTTTATTTTTGAATATTTATGGGAATTGTATGACCGGTTTTAAACCAGTGCATTTTGAGGAGAAAATAAATAAAATAATAGACATGCATCTTATTTCATGAAATAAATAATGTTTAAAATTTATAGAGACACTCTATGCCATACAAAAAAAGCACTGCAGTTTACTAGAATGTTTATGATGCAAGGACAAGCTGTTTGACAAATACTTGGGATTCTTCAGCACTCAAAGTCAAAACCCTCAGCCTGTGATGTCACAAAAGGAAGTTTTACCATCCTCATAATTTATATAGTCCCCTTACCCAAAATTAGACACAAAAGGAGTAGAATGTGGTACCTATAGGATTTCAATGGGCATTCTTCACATCATCACTGTCAATTTTAACCAACCTGGATGACATTGATAGGGTGTCAATGTCCCAGCCTTTGAGCCAATAACTGCCATCCAGGTTGGATGAAACTAATACTGATAATGACAACTTGTGAGCTTAGCCAATAATAATTTCAAAGCTGCCAAGTTGACACACGCAGATATTTTAGGAATCACCTGTGTTAATTTGTCTGCACTAAAAAAAGGTTAACACCAATTCACTGTGGCTGAATCGCACTTACCTGTACAAATATTTTAGACATATAGTGAGAAGGGCAAAGCCTCCCAAAATGCTGCGGAGGTGTGCTTTGGTTGTTGGGGAAATCCTCCACTCATAGGGGCCTTGCACCATAACCACTTTACTATTTACAGGGATAGGCAACCTTCGGGACTCCAGATGTTGTGGACTACATCCCCATAATGCTCTTACACCCATAATGCTGGCAAAGCATCATGGAAGGTGTAGTCCAAAACATCTGGAGTGCTGAAGGTTGCCTATGACTGCACTAGAATAAGCTAAATTGATTATGACGCTTATGGTGTGTCCCCCTTTAAGTGTATAATGTCCTAAAGAGAGATGATGATAGAGAGAGAGGGATTACAAGTGATGAGTGGTGGGAATCTTACAGGGCTGCGTGAGTTTGCATACATGACAACACTTCCAAAGCTGGCTGTTATGGTTGTTAAAAGTAACTGCCTTGTTTATATTAAAAAAAAGTGTATGCATCTATCACAGTGTAACTGGTTCAGTACCAGAAAGGCCAGCAATGCAATATGCATCTCATCTGGGATTCAGGGTTTACTGTGTAGTACTGATAACTTTATATTCAGGTTTAATTAGTTGGGAAATTGGTAAGAAACTGGAAGCATCCATACTCTGGCTGCAAATCACTGGTATACAAAATAATAATGATAAATAAATATTATGTATACACACACAAACAAAATGTAGACGTACAGTGCATGTATCTTAAAGGCACACTGTTGACATGCTGCTTTTAATTCAAAATATTTTTTTTTAAATACAGGTCATTTTAAAATTGCAGATAAACTTTATTTTTTATTTGTTAAAGTCTAAAAGCAGTTTTATTATTTACAAAGTGTAAAACAGAAACCATATATGTATCTGTTTCTTAATACAATAACTGCTGGCAGAGATGTTACTTTTAATTTTTCTATGAATGGCTGTAATAATGATGCTATTCATTTGGACCAAAATCCTATCTGAGTCCAGGCTGTGATGGGTGTCAGGGTACTAGTTTAAAGGTGACCTTCACACACGTTAACTGACCACAAGAACTTGATATGGAATTCAGGAGCAGACTTAGCAACTGTATACATTCTACACCAATGGACTAGGATAGTACACAGAATATTAATCACAACAATATTATATTATAACAACAGATATTTACAAGCTAGCAGGGATTCCTTTTGTGCTATATATTTAATTTAATATTTTGACTTCTGAGATGAAATGCATCACATTCACATAGCATGGGATTTAAAGTACTAGAAGTATGTGAGAACACCCCCAGCTGGCACGCTAATGGTTAAACACTTAGTACAGCAGTTATATAACTATTGTAACACACTTATACATAACACAGTGACAACCGGGGAGACACAGTGGTGTTCCCATAAAGTACACACAGAGATTGCATTGTACATGTATGTACAGAAGAAGAAGTTTAACATACAAAGTATAAACGTGTCTATTTTCTCACCCTGTCCTGTGCTGTCCATTGCTCTTTCCTTGTTTGTTTCTGCATTCGTGGAGACCCCGGCCGCCTGTGCCTCTATTTCACTGACCATTAGTACTGTGAGCAGAGCCTACAGAGTGAATGAGTGTCCGGCTGGCAGTGCTGTAAGTGGGCTCAGCGAGCTCAGCACAGAGGTCACCCAGCAGCCGCCTCCTGACAGGAGGAGTTAGCAGTCCATATATGGCTAGCATGCCCATACACGACTATGGCAGGGCCAATCACACAGCGGGGGTGTGGGCCACTCAGCATGCTTTACAACTCTACTCCCTGCCCATGGCGGCTGGATGGAGTATAGAGGTGACTTAGATACTCAACAAGGACATATGTCCCCAAACAAACGGAAGCATCAGGAACACACTAGGAGCATTGCACTGGTTATTCTGGAAGCTTATTTTATTGCAGCTTCTAATGTGAAATCTTAGTTTATTGCAGCTTCTAATGTGGAATCCTAGCTTATTGCAGCTTCTAATGTGGAATCTTAGATTATTGCAGCTTCTAGTGTGGAATCTTAGCTTATTGCAGCTTCTAGTGTGGAATCTTAGCTTATTGCAGCTTTTAGTGTGGAATCTTAGTTTATTGCAGCCTCTAGTGTGGAATCTTAGCTTATTGCAGCTTCTAGTGTGGAATCTTAGCTTATTGCAGCTTCTAGTGTGGAATCTTAGCTTATTGCAGCTTCTAATGTGAAATCTTAGTTTATTGCAGCTTCTAATGTGGAATCTTAGCTTATTGCAGCTTCTAGTGTGGAATCTTAGCTTATTGCAGCTTTTAGTGTGGAATCTTAGCTTATTGCAGCTTCTAGTGTGGAATCTTAGCTTATTGCAGCTTTTAGTGTGGAATCTTAGCTTATTGCAGCTTCTAGTGTGGAATCTTAGCTTATTGCAGCTTCTAATATGGAATCATAGCTTATTGCAGTGTTCTATTGCTCTTTGTCTTTTTTAATTTTTTTTAAAGTCAGTGTAGTCATGGGCCACCAAATGATATAAGGGCATGTTATGCAATGTGCAGGAGACACGGTGCAATCCATGATGCAACAGCAAGAAACTTCCTAAAAGGGGCGAGTATAGTAACATCTCTGGAATGGCACATTTACAAAGGATTTTAGGTGACCAGTGAGAAACATTGTATTTATTTATTTATAAAATATTTTACCAGGAAAGATGCATTGGGATTTCTCTCGTTTTCAAGTATGTCCTGGGTCCACAAAACATTGTATTGATACAATAGGGTACAATTAAATACAAAAACACACTATACACACACACACACACACACACTCACACAAAGTGTACTGTCTTCTGCACTGTCTGTTTTTCTTCTCCCTCTCCCCCCTCACTCTGATCTTCAGAAATATATTTATGACCCTCTGCAAGAATGGTGTCTCTGTTCAATCAAACATGTCTTATCTGCACGCATGTTGCTTTAACCCCTGTGTCACAACTCAACTTTGAAGTCTACGTCTTGCTCAGAAATGCTTCAGACTTGAGAAAGGGAAGTTCTCCCGAAAGCTTGTCATTAAAAAATTCTGTTAGTCCAATAAAAAAGGTATTACAAGATACAAATTGTATCTGTTTTTTACACAAGCAAACACACACATATATATTGAATACATAACAGGTAATAAATATATTAAACCATGACAGGTGCATTCTGTGCTGAGGTATATTGCCATAGATCTCTTAAAAGATTTTAGATTGAATGAAGATTTGACTGTGTCCCTGAGGTTATTCCATAAATGCAGTGCTCTGTTAGGAAAAGGAGGATCGAGCCACTTTATTTTTGTATTGCGGTATTCTAAATAGCGTGCTAATACTGGATCGGAGGTTATAGGAGGTGGGACCAGCCGGGGAGAGCATTCTGCTCAGGTAGGGTGGGAGCTTCCCAGAAATGCTCTTATTCACAAGGCTGGAAAGATGAAGAGTGCATCGGGATTCTAGCTACAGCCAGTTTAGCTCTTTTAAAATGTCACAGTGGTGGGTAAATAATTACATTCTAGTACAAAGCGGCAGAATGAATTATATAACATATTAAGTTTATTAAGTATTGGTTCAGTCACTATATATATATATATATATATATATATATTTTTTTTTTTTTTTTTTTAATTTTCATTCTTTTCTTTCTCTCTCTCTCTCTCTCCAATGTTTCTCAGTGGCCACCTAAAATCCTTTTTAAATTTGCCATTCTAGAGATTTAACTATATACGCAGTTGTGCTAAAATGTTTGCATACCCTTGGAGAATTGGTTATATATGAGTGAGCAGGCAAAACATATTTCTTTTTGAAAAAATGAAATTACCCCTGTTCAAAAGTGTGCATGCCCTTAGTCCTTAATACTGTGTATTGCCCCCTTTAGCATCAATGACAGTGTGCATTCTTTTGTAATAGTTGTCTATGAGGCCCCTAATTCTTGCAGGTGATATAGCTATCTTTTCCTCCTGGCAAAATGCCTCCAGGTCATGCAAAGTCTTTGGTCATCTTGCATGAACCGCACGTTTTTTGATCTCCCTAGAGACGTTTTAGATCTCCCTAGAGAGGTTTGATGATATTAAGCTCAGGAGACTGTGATTGCCACTCCAGAATCTTCACCTTTTTCTGCTGTAACCAGTGGTGTATTTTGGTTTTGTGCTGCCCTAGGCATGACAAAACTCGGGCACCCCCCCCCACTCCCAAATTTCTCTTCCTGACAGACACACGCCCTCACTGATAAATGCACTGACATCCACTCACTTACAGATACACAGTCTTGTCACACTGTTTAACCAACCACACACTTTCACTGAAACATACACATTAACCGACAGACACACATTTACACTTACTGACAGGCACACATTTACCGACAGACACATACACACTCACTGACAGAAATGAATGCAAACTCACTGACAGAAATGCACACACTCTCACTGCCAGACGCACACTCACTCAGTGTCAGACACACATAATGGGACATACATATGCTCACTGACAGATACAAACATATACACATATACAACACTCACTGACAGACATATATACACTCAGTGTCAGACACTAGCCTAGAGCTCAGTGAAGTGAGGCATA